TCTCCTCCATTTCCTTAGGGAGCAACCATCCTATTACCTGCTAAAACATTTAAAAAATCAGACTGGCAAATTTAAAGGTGTCTTTAACATAACCTTATTTTTCCTATATGTTCTTAATTTTTTTAACACATCAGCCAATTTCCACTGAGGCAGGGCGACCCGAAAAAGAAGAAACACTTTCATCATCACTCACTCCATCACTTGTCGAGGTAGAGGGATGCCAGTACTACAGTTCTAAAACTGCAACAATCTCCACCCCTCCTTCAGAATGCAAGCACTGTACTCTCCACCTCCAGGACTCAAGTCTGATTTGCCACTTTTTCCAAATCTCTTCATAAATGTTACCTTACTCACACTCCAACAGCACATCCAATCATAAAAACTATTTGCCTCTACTTGTTCTTCTCTAACACATTCACTTCATAAAATTGAATTTTTTATAAGGCATTGACCCTGAGGACCATAATCCTTGTATTATGACAGGGTTTACTGTACTATCATAGTAAATATGTAATTCTTCTTCTTTCTTTCAACAAATCAGCCATATCCCACCGAGGCAGGGTGGCCCAAAAAGAAAAACGAAAGTTTCTCTTCTTAAATTTAGTAATAAAAATGTACAGGAGGGCCCCAATTATATGGCTGGTTAGGTTCCAGGCTACCGCCGTAAAGCGGAAACCGCCGTAAAGTGGAACACCCTTTTTTTCCACTTACAAATGCATACAAACACTAGATAACAAGTTTACACTAACATATATTAAGTTAGCAATAGAACCAGGCATCAAAAAACAATAAAAAAGTACAATACACACATAGTGCACTCATTACTTACCTTAAAATATTTATAGTCTTAATCTAGGGTGAGACAAGTAGTATTTATTGTAAGAAATCAAGTGTGGTATGTATGATAGTCAGCCAGGCTACCATACCAGACCACCCCACGCACACATACAATTCTATAATATTTAAGCATCCCAGAGCGATAAAATGTATATACAGTTCACTCATTACTTACCTTAAAATATAGGGCGAGATGAGTAGTATTTATTGTAAAAAATCAAGTGTGGTATGTATGGTAGTCAGCCGGGCTACCATACCAGGCCAACCCACCTACACATAATATTCTATTACATTTAAGCATCCCAGAGCGATAAAATGTATATACAGTTCACTCATTACTTACCTTAAACAAACCAGGCGAAGGAAAGTTTTGTAAACGAAGTGTACACGTCTGGTTTGTGTACAAGTTACATTGTGTACAGGTTGTCTCTACATTGATACGGTAGAATAAATAAAGAAGAACACTCCCATTCTCATGTAACATCATTTTGAGAAGAAATGATGCTCTGAGTGAAGGCAATGGAAATAAGTCACTCTGACTTTTTTGGGTTATCCTAGGTCTCTACACATATGTGTTATGTATGATAATCTATGTAACTGTATTTGTGTATACCTGAATAAACTTACATACATACGAAAGGAATAATTTTCTACAGTTACCCCCAGTAACACATTTTCTCTTATGTTAGATTAGAGAAAATGTTATTCTTGGCATCACTTGTACAAGTTATCTGGCTACCACATCTTTTATTTATTTATTTATTTATTTATTTAGTAATTTAAGCATACATACAGAGGTACAAAAAATACAGGTAAGAGCAGCATGCCAAAGCCACTTATATGCATAGCATTACGGGCTGGCTTAAAATTAACTTAAGATTAACTAAGCAATGATGAAATCAGTGATAAAACATTATTGTAAACAGATAACTATAAAGCACAAATGAGTATTACAAAGACAGGTCATATGGTTGCATGCATTGCTGTACATTCAGTCGAATGGAGTATTCTGTTAGGTAGTGTATTTAAAAAAATAACAAAGTTAGATTGGGTCCTAGGTTTAACATTTGTGTGATATAATTGTGAGTAACATATAGGATATACAATTTATAAGGTTCAGTTATTCAGTATTTATTTGGTTTTGAGTGAGTAAGTGATCTTTGAGAAGAGACTTGAATTTATAAACAGGTAGTGTTTCTTTTATATTTACAGGTAATGAATTCCAGATTTTAGGGCCTTTTATGTGCATTGAGTTTTTGCATAGCGTGAGATGGACACGAGGAACATCAAAGAGTGATCTGTGCCTTGTGTTATGGTCATGTGTTCTGTTGAGGTTGGCAAGGAGATGTTTGAGGGGAGGGTTAATATCAGAGTTAAGTGTTCTATGTATGTAATAGGTGCAGTAATAAGTATGGATGTTTTGTATGGTGAGTAGGTTGAGTGTTTTGAATATTGGTGGAGTGTGCTGCCTGTAGTGAGAATTTGTTATCATTCTAACTGCAGCCTTTTGTTGGGTAATTAGTGGTCTGAGATGGTTAATTGTTGTTGAGCCCCATGCACAAATTCCATAGGTGAGATAGGGGTAAATAAGAGAGTGATAAAGGGCCAGGAGGGCTGACTGTGGAACATAGTACCGTATCTTCGATAGTATGCCTACAGTCTTGGAAATTTTCTTAGAAATTTGTTGTATATGTGTATGAAATTTGAGTCTATTATCAAGGTGGATTCCTAAGAATTTTCCCTCTGTTAGCTTTGTGATAGGCGATCTGTTTATCGTTATGTTAAGAGGTACATCTGTAGCTCTGCTACCAAACTGAATGAAGTAGGTTTTGTCAATGTTTAGTGTAAGTTTGTTAGTCCTCATCCAGGTAGATATTTTCTGTAATTCGGTGTTTACAGTATTTATTCTATTGTAGGGTGTATTTATCATCTTTTTATGTTATGTATCGTGTTTATTATATAATTTTGAAAAAAATATCATGGATGGATTAATGAAAATGTGTATATTAACGTAATATACAACATTTAATGAGACTGTGATTATTATTATTATTATTAGCATTTCTAATATGGTGTCACTTGTGCAAGTCGTCTGCTACCACATCTCATATTTATGTTTATTTATTCTATTGTGGGGTGTATTTATCATCTTTTTAATTTATGTATCGTGTTTATTATATAATTTTGAAAAAATATCATAGATGGATTAATGAAAATGTGTATTTAACGTAATATACGACATTTAAATGAGACTCGATGATTATCATCATCATTGCTAATATGACGTCTGGAGACATAAGACACTCTTACTGATTTTAATGTGTACCTGCATGCCAGCACAGTATGTAAGTTTATTTAAGTACAGGTATACATAAGTATAATTATCAGAGTATATATAAAATATGAAATAACTTTTAAAAACATTTGAAATTTTGGAGTTTCCAGACAAAATGGAGAGACTTAGTGCTTACTGAGCTCACGAAGAATGTAAACAAACAAGGTGGGGCACGGTGACCGTATTAGAAAGTCAGGTGGAGGGAGCCGTATAGCGAGTTTTGGTCATAATTTGAAATGATCGTATTAGCGGAACGCCGTAAAGTGAAACGCCGTAAAGCGGGGCCCTGCTGTAATTCTTTTATAAAATAATCGTAAGATAGGCTAACCTATACAGAATGCAAACAGCAAATCAACGACAATCATTCTAACACTCAACACTTTTTGAAATCATTTCCTTTCTTTCACAGAAGCCATAACCTCTTTCCGTCAAGCCATTAAAACTTATCTACAGCTGTTGGCAACTTGCGCCTTTTCCAGATATATAAATGAGACAAGTATTATTTCCCTATCTCAGAATTTCTTACTAATATTATTCAATCTACAGCTCACTTGATCCACACAACCATTTCCCATTCCAAGTGCGTTTGTTAATTCAGCAATAAGATTTTTGAGTAAAAGGACACAAGTGCAAACTAATGTGACATTCTTGTTAATACTTCAGAGATGATGAAGCTGCCTTTATTTTGCTTAATTGTGGTAGAGACAGCAATTAATGATGATTCAAGGCATTTACGTCTACAACAGAATTAAGCAAAATAAAGGCAGCTTCATCATCTCTGAAGTATTAGCAAGAATCCTTCTCAAAACAATAAACCCTACCATTACATAGTCACTGCTGTTAATACTACACAGAAACATAACAGAGGAGGAACACTGAAACAGGTCTTCTCAAATCCAACCACTAACAGAAATATTTGTCTGACCTATTTATATGCTACCCAAGTAGTACTAATAGCTTTTATAATCATTTACTATGCAAAGTTGATTTTTCTACCACATGTATTACTACTGCTACTACCTCTAGTATTACAACTACTACACCTCACTCTAAGCCTATTTATACCCTCTGTGTCCATGTAGTTTGTAATGGCTTGATAAAGCTCCTGTAGAGTGAAACGGTGCCACAATAAAATGTCACATTAGTTGTACTTGTGTCCTTTTACTCAACATATTGTCGGTAATTCTACCAACATTAATACAGCAATAAGACTGTTTTCAATCACTATCAATTACAGTTTTGTCACACACTTTACATGGTATACTTAAATTGTACACCTATAACTTTTGCACTTTGTTTCTCTCTAGAACATAAAAAGAATCTACATATGAAACTGTCTATATTAAAGCTTAATGTTACTATCCTAATGTATAAAGTCATCTTCTCAAATAACATCTAAGTGAATTTTTTTTGCCACATCAACCATTTCTCACCAAGGCAGTGATCCAAAGAAGAAAAATCATTCAGCACTGTTCAGGCAACAACTGTCTTGCCAGAAATGTGCAGACATCACAGTTGAAATGACCCACTGAGCTACAACATTCCATCTCTCCTATAGAGAGAGTTCTCAAAACTGCTCACTTCTACAACTCTAAGTCTGGTTAACTGGTTTTCCTGAATCCCTTCATAACAGCCTGTCAAATCCCAAAAGCTATTTGCCTACACTCACTTTGATCCAACATGATCACACATGCCTAATGTATATTTTTTTTTTTTTTAACACACTGGCATCTCTCACCGGGGTAAAGTGACCAGAAGCATGGCAATACTACACTTTTGTGTCTAAATTTATAGGTAACATTGTTGATGATTTGTAAGTCAGACTTACTGCACATTCTGAGGAACTTCTAATGGGTCACCGAGAAGATCTGGCTGAGCTGATGCTTTATTCTTCTTGTTTTTCTTCTTATTTTTCTTTCCAGGCCTGATAAAGATCGACTCTTCTTCATCTAATACTGGCTTTAATATAGTAATTTGTGTAGTTTGTAAACTCTCTGGATCAATGGGTAAATTGGAAGCTGCTGGTGCTGATGACCTGTAAATATAATAAACATTTTAATTTTATCTCCATTTTTGTGTGCCTAATCTAAAGGGATGTTCAGTGTACGAACAGGTCTGCCTGTGCAGAGAAGGTTGGTTAAATCCCTTGGGATTTTTAACACCCATTTCTCAGCAAGGCACGTTGATCCCAAAAAGAAAATACTGTGCACACTTTCTTCTTCTTTCAACAAACCGGCCGTATCCCACCGAGGTAGGGTGGCCCTAAAAAAAAAACGAAAGTTTCTCTTTTTAAATTTAGTAATTTATACAGGAGAAGGGGTTACTAGCCCCTTGCTCCTGGCATTTTAGTCGCCTCTTACAACATGCATAGCTAACAGAGGAAGAATTCTGTTCCACTTCCCCATGGAGATAACAGGAAATAAACAAGAACAAGAACTAGTACAAAAATAGAAGAAAACCCAGAAGGGTGTGTATATATATGCTTGTACATGTATGTGTAGTGTGACCTAAGTGTAAGTAGAAGTAGCAAGACATACCTGAAACCTTCCATGTTAATGAGACAGAAAAATGGACACCAGCAATCCTACCATCATGTAAAACAAATACAGGCTTTTGTTTTACACTCACTGTGCACACATTATCACTAATTGCCTAGATGTCTCTCCTGGACACACACACACACACAAATATCCAATGATACAAAAAAGAAAAAAAAAAATTAACCCTTTCAGTGTCAGTCCCATTGCACTAAGGCTTGAGAGCCAGTGTCTCAGTCCCATAGTACTATGCCAAAATTCTAGCACCTTCAAATCTGGTGGAAGAAAGCTGGTAGGCCTACATATGAAAGAATGGGTCTGTGTGGTCAGTGTGCACAGTATAAAAAAAATCCTGCAGTACGCAGTGCATGAGAGAAAAAAACTTGTGTTTTTGGTTTAAAACAGCGACTTTGCAGTGTAATTTCATATGGTATTTATGCTTGTATTCTCATTTTCTTGGTCTCATTTGATAGAATGGAAGATGTATTACAGAACTGGAGATGATTTTGATTGGTTTCACGATGAAAAGTACCTTGAACTTGAGCTAATAGTAGTGGAAATGTTCGATTTCTGCCGATGTTCAAGAGTAAACAAATGATGTCACTGTCCAATACGTGTCCAACTGGCTAGTCTAATATGCAGTCATGAATGGGTTGACATTATTTATAGAATTATTATAATAATGCAGTAGTCTGCATAACAGTAAATCTTCTATTTTTTGTGAGAATAAAAATTCAAAATGGAAAGCAAGAGTAATATAGAGGGACCTAGAGACATGACTAATGAACAGAGAAAATATTATTTTAGTGCCAGGAATGTCTGCCTTGTTTATTCTGGACCCTATTTTGAAATTGGCATCTTTTGAAATTTGTGTGAAATTGGCCAAATTGCCAATTTCTGAACACTTTATTGGGTAGTTGAAATCAGTAAATGGGTGGTTTCTTGTCCTCAATCGATAGAACAAACAGAGTTCTACCAAAATAGCTATGATCTCAGTCGACTGGAATAATGGAATTGGCCCAAAATAGGGCTCAAAGTGGGCGAAATCGCTGATGCGTAAATATCGCGGAGAGTGCAAAATTTGCAAGAGCATAATTTCGTAAGTTTTCCATCGAATTTTGTACTTTAAGTGTCATTACCACCGGGAAAATATTCTCTATCATTTCATAAAAAATAATATTTTTTTTATTTTTTAATTTTTTCAATAGAATGAGTGAGTTAAAAATCAGGGGGTCTCGACATTGAAAGGGTTAAGTACAGCAGACTCTTACATATCACATTATCAAAATATTGCTAACATAATTTTATTACCAAAATTACCCTTTTGGGAAGAGTGACTATGGGGCTATGTTTGTGTGTAAGGAAAGCAACCTATTTTCTCCCCTACTTATGTTCTGCCCTTTACATATCCCAATACTACAGTGACAAATTGAGATAACCCATGTAAAATGTACATGTCTACTAATATCACCTTCCAGTGTAGTAAAAAATCTCTTCTCCCACTTGTGTTTTTTTCCCTTAACTTTTCCCCTGCTTTCCACATTATAAATTGAATGAAAACTGTGTTACCATACTTTGTCCATTCTTTTGCCCTTACTTTTACCATTTCATCTTACCCACTTCTGGTGTAACTTTCACATGTACATGTTACTTCAGCAAAATTTATTCTTATAATACTGTATACTAACCCTTTCTGTATAAATTACTAAATTTAAAAAGAAAAAACTTTTGTTTTTTTCCTTTTTAGATCACCCTGCCTTGGTAGGATATGGCCAGTTTATTGGAAAAAAAAATACTGTATCCTGTTTCTCAGTTAATAGCAACTGCTTCACTTACATAATACCCAGACTAGAAATAGATTTTTTGGAATAGACAAGGTAAAAAAAATAAATAACAGTTAAGGCTTGACGAAAACCTTAAATGTAAGGAGGAAATTTTACAAGATTCTAAACACTAAGGTTGCAGCACTCCCAGAGGGAGCATGTCAAAAAGATAATATAAAAAGTATTAACCACAAAATAAGGTCTGGTTAATATTACATTTAATAAAAGGGAAAGTAATACTTACTTTTCCTTATTAATGTTCGCACCATCATTGGTACCAGTTTTACTGTGGTCTGCTGTTAGTTCTGCTTTGCTAAATGCCTGGAAAAAAAAAATCAGGTTACATTACAGTTTAGGAAGGAATAAGAATATATAAGTAGACTAAGAACTAAACAAATCATCAGCCGGTAGTGAATAATGCATTAACCTCGAAAAGTAGGCTACAAAGTAAGAATTCTAAGCTTCAGTGTTACCATACATCTCATATCAGTTAAGCCACAACTCTAGATATAAAAGTATAAAACTCTTGCTTAACCCTTTCAGGGTCGACAGGCCCTCTCAGAGACGTGTTCACAGGGTCAACCAAATTTCAAAAAAAAAAATAAAATTATTTTTTCTTATGAAAAGATAGAGAATCTTTTCCCGATCATAATGACGCCAAAAGTATGAAATTTGATGGAAAACTTACGGAATTATGCTCTCGTGAAGTTAGTGGTCTTGGCGATTTTGCCCACTTTGAGCCCTATTTTCGGCCAATTCCAGTGTACTTGTCAACAAAAATCATAACTATTTCACTAGACCTCCATTTTTTTCTATCGACTGAGTACAAGAAACCACCCATTTACCGATTTCAACTATCCAATACAGTGGTCAGAATTTAGCAATTTTGCCAATTTCACACAAATTTCAAAAGATGCCAATTTCCGAATAGGGTCCAGAATAAGCAAGAAAGACATTCCTGGCACTAAAATAACATTTCCTCTGTTCATTAGTCACATCCCCAGGCCCCTCTTACATTCTTTTGCTTTCCACTTTGAATTTTTATTCTCACAAAAAATAGATTTACTGTTATGCAGACTACTGCATTAGTGTAGAAATGGTATAAATTATATCAGCGCATTTGTAAAAGAATATTAGACTCACCAGTTGACGTGTATTGGACGCATAGCATGATTTGTTTACTTTTGAACTTTGGTAAAAATCAAATATTTCTGTTATTTTGAGCTCAATTTCAAGGTACTTTTCTTTGTAAAACCAGTCAACATCATCTCAATTTCTATAATATGTCTTCCATTCTATAAAATGAGACCAGGAAAACTAGAATACAACAATAAATACCATATGAAAATACAGTGCAAAGTCGCTGTTTTAATCCAAAAACACGGTCAAAGTTTTTTTTTTTCTCATTACGCACTGTGTGCTGCAGAATTTTTTTTATACCATGCACACTGACCACATAGACACATTCTTTCATATGTAGGCCTACCAGCTTTCTCTCACTAGATTTGAGGGCGCTAGAATTTAGGCGTACTAGTACGTCAAAAACCCTGGTGCGTAAGCCGTACTATTATTTTTTATTAACACACTGGCCGATTCCCACCGAGGCAGGGTGGCCCGAAAAAGAAAAATTTTCACCATCATTCACTCCATCACTGTCTTGCCAGAAGGGTGCTTTACACTACAGTTTTTAAACTGCAACATTAACACCCCTCCTTCAGAGTGCAGGCACTGTACTTCCCATCTCCAGGACTCAAGTCCAGCCTGCCGGTTTCCCTGAATCCCTTCATAAATGTTACTTTGCTCACACTCCAACAGCATGTCAAGTATTAAAAACCATTTGTCTCCATTTACTCCTATCAAACACACTCACGCATGCCCGCTGGAAGTCCAAGCCCCTCGCACACAAAACCTCCTTTACCCCCTCCCTCCAACCTTTCCAAGGCCGACCCCTACCCCGCCTTCCTTCCACTACAGACTGATACACTCTTGAAGTCATTCTGTTTCGCTCCATTCTCTCTACATGTCCGAACCATCTCAACAACCCTTCCTCAGCCCTCTGGACAACAGTTTTGGTAATCTCGCACCTCCTCCTAACTTCCAAACTACGAATTTTCTGCATTATATTCACACCACACATTGCCCTCAGACATGACATCTCCACTGCCTCCAGCCTTCTCCTCGCTGCAACATTCATCACCCATGCTTCACACCCATATAAGAGCGTTGGTAAAACTATACTCTCATACATTCCCCTCTTTGCCTCCAAGGACAAAGTTCTTTGTCTCCACAGACTCTTAAGTGTGCCGCTCACCCTTTTCCCCTCATCAATTCTATGATTCACCTTATCTTTCATGGACCCATCCGCTGACACGTCCACTCCCAAATATCTGAATACATTCACCTCCTCCATACTCTCTCCCTCCAATCTGATATCCAATCTTTCATCACCTAATGTTTTTATTATCCTCATAACCTTACTCTTCCCTGTATTCACTTTTAATTTTCTTCTTTTGCATACCCTACCAAATTCATCCACCAACCTCTGCAACTTCTCTTCAGAATCTCCCAAGAGCACAGTGTCATCAGCAAAGAGCAACTGTGACAACTCCCACTTTATGTATGATTCTTCATCTTTTAACTCCACGCCTCTTGCCAAGACCCTCGCACTAGTACGGCCGAAACCCTGAAAGGGTTAAGTTTCAATGACCCTTACTAAATAAGCTGACCCATTTGAGCATCCTTATCTTATGCCAAATGCTCACTTAGCAATATGAACCAATTTGCTAATCACAATCATTTCTAAAAGTTGTAGAACCAGTCACTAAGCTGCACAGTTCCTACATAACACTGCATGATGAACATGTCTAGTGGATTTCTTCAACCACACTGGCCATTTTCTAAGGTAGGCCAATATACAGTAGGAAAACAACTTCATCCTCACTAATTCAAACGATGTCTTATCAGGAGTGCTTTTGTGTATGTATGAAATTAGGATCAGGGATATTTGTTTTCACTTTAATTATTAGGTTTTGATTTATATACATATTGTTTGTTGACAGCAGTCTCGACCCAACACTTATGACCAATGGCTGATAAAAGAATTCCAATTTTTTGGTTAAAATTTCCTTGCATGATAAAATGAGGCATTGTTCATATCTATTTTTTATTATATCTTGTATCATCATCCTAGAATTATTTTTGAGTATTAATTTTGTTAAGTCCCAACTTTCTGAACACTTATTAGTAGTCACTATTTTATATGCAGCTTATTTAACTTTACATGTATAATCTTACTGTATAATGTTATCCTCTTTACTGAGGATTATATTTATAGTGAACTATAAATCAGCTTTGCTATTAAGTCTTAATTCTACCTTTGCATTAGTATTGTACATTGATTATGTATGAGTGAAGTGAAAGTGTTGAATGATGATGAAAGTATTTTCGTTTTGGGGATTTTTTCTTTCTTTTTGGGTCACCCTGCCTAGGTGGGAGACGGCCGACTTGTTAAGAAGAAAAAGAAAAAATTCCCATATTTACTGCTAATTTTTTTTTTAACATATTGGCCGTTTTCCACTGAGGGAGGGTGGCCCAAAAAGAAAGAAAAAACTTTCATCATCATTCAACACTTTCACCATCACTCATACATAATCACTGTCTTTGCAGAGGTGCTCAGATACGATAGTTTAGATGACCCTCCAAACTGCCAATAACCTAAATCCCTCCTTTAAAGAGCAGGCATGGTACTTCCCATTTCCAGGACTCAAGTCTGGCTAACCAGTTTCCCTGAATCCCTTCACAAAATATTACCCTGCTCACACTCCAACAGCTTGTAAGGTCCCAAAAACTATTTGTCTCCATTCACTTTAACACGCTCATGCATGCAAGCTGGAAGTCCAAGCCCCTTGCCCACAAAACCTCCTATACCATCTCCCTCCAACCTTTTCAAAGATGACCCCTACCTCACCTTCCTTCCGCAATAGATTTATATGCTCAACAGATTTATATACAAATACAACTGTTTATTCTTAAGACCAGGTATTCTAAAATAATTTTTTAACTGAGAGATGAACAGATAATTGAGATTTTTTACAGAAGTGACTTGTTTGTAGATGAGCCAAAATGAAAAATCAAAAGAGCCAAAATGAAAATTTATAACAATAAAAACTGTCTGGCATATCATACAAGATTTAGCTCATGTGAAATAAGACACATGTGCAGTATTAGGATATTTGAACAAGAGAATATTTCATCACAAATGGCTTCTTCAGTCCCTGAAGAAGCCATTCATGGTAAAAATGTTTCCTAATTATATCTTAACCCTACATGTGTTTTATCTCACATTTGTTGCCACTATTTTAAACTATATATTACCCATTTGGTTTATGTGTATCATATGATGGTTATACTACTATTGGGTACATCAACCCTGTTGAGAACTCAGCAAGTCATTCTGTTCCATTCTGAAGAATATATTGACATCATTATTATTTTTGTGGAAAAATGCTAAAGCCACTGGAGCATCTGGGGTTTGAGAGGTTATCAGATTTAAGGAAAGGGATGGCAACTTCACTTTCATGGATCAAGAACATTTCACTGTCATGAAAGGAGAATATGGTTTCAATGAAAAATTAGACACATACAGTATAATGCAATCCTTTATTGACTATCTTTATCTAGGCAGATTTGTTTGCGACTTTATAAAGCTCACTGTGTGGGCAAAACATAGTCAATAAAAGTATAGCGATATACTGCATTTGTGTCTATTTCTCCATCGTGTTGGTATTTTATACCGTTTATCTCTGTGTTTCACCGAGTTGAGAACCAAGCTTACCTCATCACCGCATGGTGCATCTTCACTAAAGCTTTCACTTTTACACTTCTTTTTCTCTCGTGCTTCTGCAAGTCTAGAGGTCTGAATCTTCTTCTCCTTTTTTTCCCTTTATAATAGGAAAAATGTGAAAAAGATAAATTGGTGCTAGTATAATAATTATAAAGAAAATATGTGCAAAATGAACACCATATAAGGATAAGTTTTTACAGTAGACTGTAGATAGATAACGGGACAAGTAGACAAGTGGAAATAAAGACACTATTAGCAGGAAATCTTAACATTAAGACATTTCACTCAAGGGCTAGCTTAAAGTGAAACAATGTAATTAAAGGATTCCCTAATACTAGTGTCTTCAATTTTACTGCAGTGTTCTAATCAAGAAAAGCTTTATTATGTCAACAAAGGAACAACAAAGTAAGAGCTTATAGATCTTACTGCAAAAGAAGCAGGTGTAAAGGAGGATTAGACAGAAGTGTGCTGACAAGGTGAGGTGTAGATTAAATTGGATCTATTACATGTAATGGTTTGGCTATACTCATAATTAATCTTTTAAGAGATGAAGTAAAGTGAAATGCCTCTTGGTTCTGTTCTATGGTGTTGCTCCATGTCATAGCAAACAACATCAATGTTGTGTGTATCAATGTGGAGTAAACGTGCTTTACTGAGAGAAGTAAATAACAAAAAAAGGCACAATACCGTGACTGGAATGATACACAAATAATCCGCACATAGAAAAGAGGAGCTTATGATTATATGGATTAAAATAAGGGTTGGATGCAAAAAGTGGGTTATATTAATTGTTTATACACCTCAAGAAGAGAGGAGAGAGAGAAAGATTTTGGGAGATGTTGGTGAGTATTCAGGGAGCTTTGAACCAAGTGAATATTTTTAGGAGCTCTTAAATGTTGATGGAGAGAGAGAGAGAGAGAGGGGGGGGGGGAGTGATTTCATGCATTAGCCAGGAAATTATAGCATATTTTAGAGGTGTGGAAGTGCTGGATGTGACTGTGGTGGAAGTGCCTGAGGCAATGGGTAAAATGAAAGTGATCAAAACAGCTGGAATTGATGGGATTAAGGCAGAAATGTTTAAAGCAGGTGGGGATGTATTTTTAGAGTGGTTGGTGTTTTTGTTCAATAAATGTATGAAAGGGGAAGGGGTGAGGTTCCTAAAGATTGACAGAAAGAGAGGATAGCGTCTTTGTATAAAAGAAAAAGGGATAAAAGAGCGAGTAAAAATAATAGGGGAATAAGCCTGTTGAGTGTAGGTAGTAGGTTGGTAGACAGCAACCGACCAGGGAGGTACTACTATCCTGCCAAGTGAATGTAAAATGAAAGCCTGTAATTGTTTTACATGATGGTAAGATTGCTGGTATTTTTTCTGTCTCATACACATGCAAGATTTCAGGTACATCTTGCTACTACTACTTACACTTATGTCGCACTACACATGCATGTACAAGCATATATATACACACCCCTCTGGGTTTTCTTCTATTTTCTTTCTAGTTCTTGTTCTTGTTTATTTCCTCTTACCTCCATGGGGAAGTGGAACAGAATTCTTCCTCCGTAAGCCATGCGTGTTGTAGGAGGCGACTAAAATGCCGGGGGCAAGGGGCTAGTAACCCCTTCTCCTGTATATATTACTAAATGTAAAAGGAGAAACTTTCGCTTTTCTTTTTGGGCCACCCCACCTCGGTGGGATACGGCTGGTACGTTGAAAGAAGAAGCAGCAGCCCTGTTGAGTATACCAGGTAAAGTGTATGGAAGAATTATTATTGAAAGAATTATGGGTAAGATGGGGAGCAGGATCACAGATAAATAAGGTGATTTCATAAGGGTACGGGGAGGTGTAGATCAAGTGTTTACATTCAAGCACATAAGTGAACGTTATTTAGATAAGGGTAACAATGTTTTTGTTGCAATTATGGATTTAGAAAAGGCATATGATAAGGTGGATATGGAAGCAATGTAGCAGATGTTGCAAGTGTATGGAATAGGTGTTAAGTTACTGAAAGCAGTTAAGAGGTTTTATGAGGATAGTGAGGCTTAGGTTTGGATATGTAGGAGAAAGGGAGACTTTTCCAGTATAAATAGACCTTAGACAGGGATATATGATGTCACCACGGTTGTTTAACATGTTCATAGATGGGGTTGTAAAAAGTGAATGCTAGGGTGTTGGGGAGTTGCACTAGATGAAGCAAGTGTTTGCAGTGATATAGGGTATATAAGGGGTACTAGGATATGGGAAAGTAAAAAGTTAGTTGCAATTATGGATTAAGAATGGATGTAAGGACTGAAGAGCAATGTTGCAAATACATGACAGCAATTACAGTTCTCAAGCAATTTAAATTATCTAATCACAAAACAGAAACATTTTTCCTCACTTTTTTTTTTGCTTTGAAATGGGCAGCCCATTTTTCTTCTCTTTTTTATCCTTTGCAAGTTCATTCTTGAGCTTGCTAGTTTCATCATATATTCGGATACTGCAAATTTTGCCAGTGCAGTCTGGTGTTATACATTCCATTCCCAAGAAATCCTGCAAATTTGAAGTTAGGAAGCAATGATGTAATAATTATTCATTACAGAAACAAAAACAATGTCAAACTCTTATCAAATCATGACTTAAAACTCAATTACTGACTAAATCATTTTCAAAATAATAACTCGTTTTTTAACGTTACATCGGTCGTTTCCCACAGAGGCAGGGTGACCAGAAAAAGAAGAAACAATTATCCTCACTCACTCCATCACTGTCTTGCCAGAGGAATGCAGTTACTATAGTTCAAAAACTGCAACATATCTCATTCCTCATTCAGGGTTCAGGCACTGTACATCTCACCTCCAGGACTTGAAGTCTGGCTAACCAGAGCAGGGTAATATTTAGTGAGGGATTCAGGGAAACCGGTTATTTTCATATAGTCGGACTTGAGTCCTGGAAATGGGAAGTACAATGCCTGCACTTTAAAGGAGGGGTTTGGGATATTGGCAGTTTGGAGGGATATGTTGTGTATCTTTATACGTATATGCTTCTAAACTGTTGTATTCTGAGCACCTCTGCAAAAGCACTGATAATGTGTGAGTGTGGTGAAAGTGTTGAATGATGATGAAAGTATTTTCTTTTTGGGGATTTTCTTTCTTTTTTGGGTCACCCTGCCTCGGTGGGAGACGACCGACTTGTTGAAAAAAAAAAAAAAAAATTATTAATATGGCATCCTCAAAAACTAATTTTAATGTGTACCTGCATGCCAGCACAGTGTGTAAGTTTATTTAGGTGCAGGTACACATAAGTATAATTATCAGAGTATAATATATATATTTTTTTAACAAGTCGGCCATCTCCCACTGAGGCAGGATAGCAGATGAACAAGGAGGCTTTAGGAAAGGTAGGGGGTGTGTAGACCAAGTGTTTACAGTGAGACATGTAAGTGAACAGTATTTAGACAAGGCTAAATAAGTTTTTGTGGCATTTATGGATTTGGAAAAGGCGTATGACAGGGTGGATAGGGGGGCAATGTGGCAGATGTTGCAGGTGTATGGTATAGGAGGTAGGTTACTGAAAGCAGTGAAGAGCTTTCACGAGGATAGTGAGGCTCAAGTTAGAGTATGTAGGAAAGAGGGAGATTATTTCCCAGTAAAAGTAGGCTTTAGAGAAGGATGTGTGATGTCACAGTGGTTGTTCAATATATTTATAGATGGGGTTGTAAGAGAAGTAAATGTGAGGGTCTTGGCAAGAGGCGTGGAGTTAAAAGATAAAGAATCACACAAAGTGGGAGTTGTCACAGTTGCTTTTTGCTGATGACACTGTGCTCTTGGAATATTCTGAAGAGAAGTTGCAGAGGTTGGTGGAAGAATTTGGTAGGGTATGTAAAAGAAGAAAATTAAAAGTGAATACAGGAAAGAGTAAGGTTATGAGAATAACAAAAAGATTAGGTGATGAAAGATTGGATATCAGATTGGAGGGAGAGAGAATGGAGGAGGTGAATGTATTCAGATATTTGGGGGTGGACGTGTCAGTGGATGGGTCTATGAAAGATGAGGTGAATCACAGAATTGATGAGGGTAAAGGGTGAGTGGTGCACTTAGGAGTCTGTGGAGCCAAAACCTTTGTCCTTGGAAGCACAGAGGGGAATGTATGAGAGTATAGTTTTACCAATGCTCTTATATGGGTGTGAAGCATGGGTGATGAATGTTGCAGCGAGGAGAAGGCTGGAGGCAGTGGAGATGTCATGTCTGAGGGCGATGTGTGGTGTGAATATAATGCAGATAATTTGTAGTTTGGAAGTTTGGAGGAGGTGCGGGATTGCCAAAACTGTTGTCCAGAGGGCTGAGGAAGGGTTGTTGAGGTGGTTTGGACATGTAGAGAGAATAGAACGAAACAGAATGACTTGAAGAGTGTATCAATCTGTAGTGGAAGTAGGGAGGGGTAGGGGTCGGCCTAGGAAAGGTTGGAGGGAGGGGGTAAAGGAGGTTTTGTGTGCGAGGGGCTTGGATTTCCAGCAGGCATGCGTGAGCGTGTTTGATAGGAGTGAATGGAGACAAATGGTTTTTAATACTTGACGTGCTGTTGGAGTATGAGCAAAGTAACATTTATGAAGGGATTCAGGGAAACCAGCAGGCCGGACCTCGAGTCCTGGAGATGGGAAGTACAGTGCCTGCACTCTGAAGGAGGGGTGTTAATGTTACAGTTTTATAAACTGTAGTGTAAAGCACCCCTCTGGCAAGACAGTGATGGAGTGAATGATGGTGAAAGTTTTCCTTTTTTGGGCCACCTGGCTTGGTGAGAATTGGCCAGTGTGTTAATAGTAATAATAAAACAACTTTAAAGCACTTGAAATTTTGGAAAGTTTCCACACATAATGGAGAGATGCAGTGCTCACAAACCTTATAGAGAATGTAAACAAACCTGGTGGGGTGTGGTGACCATATTAGAAAATCTGGTGGGGGGAGCCGTATAGCAAGTTTAGGTCATAATCTGAAATGTCCGTATTAGCGGAATGCCACAAAGCAAAACGCCGTAAAGCAGGGCCCTACTGTACTTTGGTATTACTGTGACTAGTATAATATTCAACAATTCAAAGCTACAAACTCACTTTATCAGACATTCTGCCAATGCCTTCATCCAGTTGCTCCTTGTGAGCCTTCCAACAACACGGATGGTAGCTGACTGTGCAGTACTCTTCACATGTCACATCTAAAAATCCTTTGAAATCGGGGTCACTGTAATGTAAATATATAAATATATTTTATGCCATCTTAGATTAAACAAACTTAAATGGGACATTACATGGTTTATCAGTGCAAGGAAAAAATTTACTTGTATAAATTCTGAATAAAATTATTAAGAATGAGAGCTGGATTAGGTTAGTATAGTATTTCCAGGGTAAATTCCAAACTTTTAACGCAATGCACTCAAGTTAGTGGAGGGCATAGGAGACACAAGTATACCAACAAGTATTTTTAGCTGTCCATATGACAATTTATGTAAGTCTTTTTTTTAAATTAAGGCAGGGATCAGAAGTATGACTGTACAAATAGCAACCTTACAAGGCAATTAAACAAACATCTCAAGAAATGTTGGGGTACTGTACCACCCAAGTGAAAAGATTATAATGTATATCCTATCACAGTGAGTTTGACCGCTGGTGTAGTCAAGGTCATGAGGTCGAGCTCATGTTATGAGTGAAGCTTTTCTTTTTTAATTAGGAAGTACAATGCCTGCACTTTAAAGGAGGGGTCTGGGATATTGACAGTTAGGAGGGACTTCTAAACTGTCGTATCTGAGCGCCTCTGCAAAGACAGTGATTATGTATAAGTGAAGTGAAAGTGTTGAATGATGATGGAAGTATTTTCTTTCTGGGTCACCTAGCCTCAGCAGGAAACATGGCCACCTTGTTGGGGGAGAGAGGGAGAGAGAAAAAAAAAAATGGGTAGTAGGTTGGTAGACAGCAACTGCCCAGGGAGGTACTGCGGTCCTTCCAAGTGAGTGTAAAACGAAAGAAAGCCTGTAATGGTTTTTCATGATGGTAGGATTGTTGGTGTCTTTTTTCTGTCTCATAAACATGTAAGGCTTCAGGTATGTCTTGCTACTTCTATTTACACTTAGGTCACACTACAGATTCCTTTTTTTTATTTTCAACAAGTTGGCTGTCTCCCACTGAGGCAGGGTGACCCAAAAAGAAAGAACATCCCCAAAAAGAAAATATTTTTATCATCATTCAACACTTCCACCTCACTTATACATAATCACTGTCTTTGCAGAGGTGCCCAGATACAACAATTTAGAAGCATATATAAAGATATACTATAACATATCCCTCCAAACTGCCAACATCCCAAACCCCTCCTTTAAAGTGCAGTCATTGTACTTCCCTCTGGGTTTTCTTCTATTTTTCTTACTAGTGCTTTTTTTTTTCTTTCTTTTTTTCAAGAAGTCGGTCGTCTCCCACCGAGGCAGGGTGATCCAAAAAGAAAGAAAAAATCCCCAAAAAGAAAATACTTTCATCATCATTCAACACTTTCACCTCACTCACACATAATCACTGTTTTTGCAGAGGTGCTCAGAACACAAGAGTTTAGAAGCATATATGTATAAAGATACACAACATATCCCTCCAAACTGCTAATATCCCAAAACCCCTCCTTTAGAGTGCAGGCATTGTACTTCCCATTTCCAGGACTCAAGTCCAGCTTGTCCTCGTTTATTTCTCATCTCCATGGGGAAGTGGAACAAAATTCTTCCTCCGTAAGGCATGTGTGTTGTAAGAGGCGACTAACATGCTGGGAGCAAAGGGCTAGTAGCCCCTTCTCCTGTATACATTACTAAAGTTAAAAAGGGAAAATTTTGTTTTTCTTTTTGGACCACCCTTCCTCGGTGGGATATGGCCGGTTTGTTGAATGATGATGATCTATCACCCTGCCTCAGTGGGAAACAGCCAATGTGTTAAAAAAAAAAAATAATTGAATAGCCCAGAGGTCAAAAATCATGAAGGAAAGATGCAACAGACTAAAGCTCTTCCATCAGAACAGTAAAAGAAAGGACCTGAAGGAGAACCCTTTCACCATTTTTGAAGTTGTCCACATGTACATTACTTTCACGATTTTCAAAGTCTTTATGTCCACAACAATTTCTCTCGACAAACTAAAGTGCCTGGCATTTAACTATAATAAATCTTCATTTAAGTTATTAAATGCTGTAAAGAGTTTTTATGAGGATAGTGAGGCTCAGGTTAGGGTGTGTAGAAGAGAGGGAGACTACTTCCCGGTAAAAGTAGGTCTTAGACAGGGATGTGTAATGTCACCATGGTTGTTTAATATATTTATAGATGGGGTTGTAAAGGAAGTAAATGCTAGGGTGTTCGGGAGAGGGGTGGGATTAAATTTTGGGGAATCAAATTCAAAATGGGAATTGACACAGTTACTTTTTGCTGATGATACTGTGCTTATGGAGATTCTAAAGAAAAATTGCAAAGGTTGTGGATGAGTTGGGAATGTGTGAAAGGTAGAAAGTTGAAAGTGAACATAGAAAAGAGTAAGGTGATGAGGGTGTCAAATGATTAGATAAGAAAAATTTGGATATCAAATTGGGGGAGGAGTATGGAAGAAGTGAATGTTTTCAGATACTTGGGAGTTGACATGGTCGGCGGATGGATTTATAAGGATGAGGTTTAATCATAAGAATTGATGAGGGAAAAAAGGTGAGTGGTGCGTTGAGGTATATGTGGAGTCAAAAAACGTTATCTATGGAGGCAAAGAAGGGAATGTATGAAAGTATAGTAGTACCAACAATCTTATATGGGGTGAAGCTTGGGTGGTAAATGCAGCAGCGAGGAGACGGTTGGAGGCAGTGGAGATGTCCTGTTTAAGGGCAATGTGTGGTGTAAATATTATGCAGAAAATTCGGAGTGTGGAAATTAGGAGAAGGTGTGGAGTTAATAAAAGTATTAGTCAGAGGGCAGAAGAGGGGTTGTTGAGGTGCTTTGGTCATTTAGAGAGAATGGATCAAAGTAGAATGACATGGAAAGCATATAAATCTATAGGGGAAGGAAGGCGGGGTAGGGGTCGTCCTCGAAAGGGTTGGAGAGAGGGGGTAAAGGAGGTTGTGTGGGCAAGGGGCTTGGACTTCCAGCAAGCGTGCGTGAGCGTGTTAGATAGGAGTGAATGGAGACGAATGGTACTTGGGACCTGACGATCTGTTGGAGTGTGAGCAGGGTAATATTTAGTGAAGGGATTCAGGAAACCGGTTATTTTTCGTATAGTCGGACTTGAGTCCTGGAAATGGGAAGTACAATGCCTGCACTTTAAAGGAGGGGTTTAGGATATTGGCAGTTTGGAGGGATATGTTGTGTATCTTTATATGTGTATGCTTCTAGACTGTTGTATTCTGAGCACCTCTGCAAAAACAGTGATAATGTGCGAGTGTGGTGAAAGTGTTGAATGATGATGAAAGTATTTTCTTTTTGGGGATTTTCTTTCTTTTTTTGGGTCACCCTGCCTCGGTGGGAGACGGCCGACTTGTTGAAAAAAAAAAAAAAAAAAAATCTTCATTTGTTAATTACACAAATTTCGGGTATTAAAACTAATCACCACATTTCAGTGCCTCTTCACAGTGATTTTGAAACAAAATGGTCTTATATCTTTAATACAATTAACTTACGTGTACTGACATTCACTATCTACTGCCTTCCCATATACAAACATTGTTCTATATATCTTTCAACACTTTCTTTCAACACACCAGCCGTATCCCACCGAGGCGGGGTGGCCCAAAAGGAAAAACTAAAGCTTCTCCTTTTACATTTAGTAATATATACAGAAGAAGGGGTTACTAGCCCCTTGCTCCCAGCATTTCAGTCGCCTCTTATGATATGCATGACTTATGGAGGGAGAATTCTGTTCCACTTCCCCATGGAGATGTTCTATATATAAATACTTTTATCTCTGCTTCTTTCTGACTTTATGATCATAAGCCACAAAGAATGGTTAATGCCCCTTTTCAAAGGGGCATTAACCATTGTTGGTGTAAGGTAAAATGTGTCAAACAGTGTAAGTGTGCCAAGTGTGTAGGTAAAGTAGATGATTAAGATAATTACTGTACACAGGCTCTCGCATGTGATGACATATATGGAGCTCAAAACAGATACTCCTGGAAAGTAATGGTACGAAGTGCCAATAGAGAATTTTAGCCATGATAATCTCGTGGCTGTAACAGGATTATTATTCTTATTTTTTTTTTTAACAAGCTGTCTGTTTCCTACCAAGGCAGGGTGACCCAAAAAAGAAAGAACCACTTTCACCATCATTCACACATAATCACTGTTTCTGCAGAGGCACACAGATACGACAGGATTATTGTCACAAAATTTAATCCAGTCACTGTATAAGCAGCACATGCATCTGAGGGATGCATCAGTGCTTTGCTTATTCAGCCAATTTAAGATAATTGATATATCACTTTTTACTGTATTACCTTTTATAGTACATGTATGTCAATATTCCATTGTATACTGATATTTGCTAACTTACGTAACATAAATTTCTTCCTTGGCATATGCATGTGCCTGAGTGGCAATGCAGTCTTTAAAACGGCATCTAGCCTTTGGTGTTTGTCTCGATGAAGCTGCTCTTCCCACAAGTTCTCTAGCATTATCCTGTTGGAAAAATGCGTATCATTATTATTAACACGAGGCGGTGATTTGAAAAAATGACACTCACCAAATTTCTCTTTTGTGAAAAATCATCAACAAACCTCTGCAACATGATGTAAACCAGTAAGTCCACCAAAAATAGCCAAGAAACATTTGGAACTTTTTTTTTTCCTAACAAGTTGGACATCTCCCACTGAAGCAGGGTGACCCAAAAAGAAAGAAAATCCTCAAAAAGAAAACACTTTCATCATCATTCAACACTTTCACCTCACTCATACATAATCACTGACTTTGCAAAGGCACTCAGATACGACAGTTTAAAAGTCAACCTCCAAATTGCCAATATCCCAAACCCCTCCTTTAACCCCTTGACTGTTGCAACCCCCAATCCTGAGGTGTCTCCTGGTGTTGCAAAATTTAAAAAAAAAAAAAAAAAAAAAAAAAAAAAATCTTATGAAATGATAAGAGAATTTTTTCCTGATTGTAATGACACCAAAAGAACAAAATTTGATGGAAAACTGACGGAATTACACTCGCAAAGTTAGCAACCTTGGCGATATTTACAAATCGGCGATTTCGCCCACTTTGAGCCCTATTTTCGGCTAATTACATAGTTACAGTCGACCAAACTCATAGCTATTTCTTTAGAACTCCGTTTTTTCTATCAATTGAGTACAAGAAACTGCCCATCTACCAATTTCAACTACCCAATAATGTGGTCAGAAATTTGCAATTTGGCCAATTTCACAAAAATTAAAAAATACGACAATTTCAAAATAAGGTCCAGAATGAACAATGCAGACATTCCTGGCTCTAAAATAACATTGTTTTTTGTTCATCAGTCACGTCTCCAGGCCCCTCTGATATTACTTTTGCTTTCTACTTTGAATTTTTATTCAAACAAAAAATGCAGACTACTGCAATACTGTAATAATTGTACAAATAATGTCAACCCATTCATGACTGCATTTGAGAATGGCTAATTGGACATTTATTGGACAATGACATCATTTGTTTACTTTTGAACATCGGCAAAAATCAAACATTTCCCCTAACTTGAGCTCCATTTCCAGGTTCTTTTTATAGTAAAACCAATCAAAATCACCTCTACTTCTATAATATGTTTTCCATTCCATCAAATGAGACCAAGAAAACGAGAATACAACCATAAATACTATATGAAAATAGACCACAAAGTTGGCATTTTCACTAAAAAAAAAAAAAAGTCGGAGTTTTTTTTTCCTCATTATGCACTAGCATGCTCCAGAATTTTTTTTTATATGGTGCACACCGACTACACAGGCCCATTCTCTCACATGTGGGCCTACCAGCTTTCTCCTGCATGATTTGAAGCCGCTAGAATTTATGAGTACAGTGGTCCCTCAATAATCGTCCGGCTTGAAAGTCGTCCATTTCGGAAATAGTCCTGTTTTTTCGTCAAAATATTGGCTCGGAAATTGTCTGGTAACTCGCTAATAGTCCTTCGTCCCGGACGTGTACTCGCGGTCTGAGCCGCCTCGGCCTTTCCTTCCCAGCCAGTGTGCCATTGTTTACCAGTGAGCGACGGTCCCTTCACGTGCTCCAGCGAAATATTTCATAATATTTCATTTATTTTAGTGCTTGCAAGTTATTTAAGTGCTAAATAAGCTACCATGGCTCCAAAGAAAGCTCCTAGTGCCAAGCCTTTGGTAAAGAAGGTGAGAAATACGATTGAATTTAAGGAAAACATCATTGAACAATATGATAGTGGCGTACGTGTGGGCGAACTGGCCAGGATGTATAACAAATCCCGTACAACCATATCTTCCATCATAGCCAAGAAAAAGGAAATCAAGGACGCTGTTGTTGCAAAGGGGGTAAATATACTGACAAAAATGAGATCACCAGTACTCGAAGATGTTGAGAAGTTATTATTGGTGTGGATAAATGAGAAACAATTAGCAGGAGATAGTCTTATGACGTCGCTTATTTGTGAAAAGGTTAGGCAGTTGCATGACGATTTAGTAAAGAAATTGCCTGCAACTAGTGATGATGTGAGTGAATTTAAGGCCAGCAAAGGCTGGTTTGAGAGATTTAAGAAGCGTACTGGCATACACAGTGTGGTAAGGCATGGTGAGGCTGCCAGTTCGGACCACAAGGCAGCTGAAAAATATGTGCATGAATTCCAGGAGTACATAGAGGCTGAAGGACTGAAACCTGAACAAGTGTTCAATTGTGATGAAACAGGCCTCTTTTGGAAGAAAATGCACTGCCAGGACACAAGCCTATGAAAGACAGGCTGACGCTAATGCTCTGTGCTAATGCTAGTGGGGATTTCAAAGTGAAGCCATTACTAGTGTACCATTCTGAAAATCCCATTGTGTTCAAGAAAAACAATGTTATGAAGAGTAAATTGTGTGTGTTTTGGAAATCTAATAGTAAGGCATGGGTCACGAGGGAAATTTTTGTAGAGTGGTTCAATGAAGTGTTTGGCCCTAGTGTGAAGAATTACCTCCTGGAAAAGAAATTGGATCTCAAGTGCCTCCTAGTAATGGACAATGCACCTGCTCATCCTCCAAACTTGGATGACCTAATTCTGAAGGAGTTTGGGTTCATCACAGTAAAGTTCTTGCCCCCAAATACCACTCCTCTCCTCCAGCCCATGGACCAGCAGGTCATTGCAAACTTTAAAAAACTCTACACCAAAGCAATGTTTGAAAGGTGCTTGAATGTGACCTCAGACACTCACTTGACCCTACAAGATTTTTGGAAAGAACATTTCAGTATTCTCCATTGCGTAAGCCTTATAGGTAAGGCTTGGGAGGGATTGACTACCAGGACTTTGAACTCTGCTTGGAGAAAATTGTGGCCAGATTGTGTCCACAAGAGGGATTTTGAAGGGTTTGGGGCTGACCCTGATGAGCCTATGTCAGTTGTTAACCCTTTGACTGTCGCGGCCGTATATATACGTTTTACGAGGTGCCGTGTTTGACGTATATATACTCATAAATTCTAGCGGCTTCAAATCAAGCAGGAGAAAGCTGGTAGGCCCACATGTGAGAGAATGGGTCTGTGTGGTCAGTGTGCACCATATAAAAAAAATCCTGGAGCACGCAGTGCATAATGAGAAAAAAAAAACTGACCGTTTTTTTTAATTAAAATGCCAACTTTGTGGTCTATTTTCGTATAGTATTTATGGTTGTATTCTCGTTTTCTTGGTCTCATTTGATAGAATGGAAAACATATTACAGAAATAGAGGTGTTTTTGACTGATTTTACTATAAAAAGAACCTAGAAATGGAGCTCAAAGTAGGGGAAATGTTTGATTTTTACCAATGTTCAAAAGTAAACAAATGATGCCATTGTCCAATAAATGTCCAACTAGCCATTCTAATATGCAGTCATGAATGGGTTGATGTTATTTATACAGTTATTACAGCATTGCAGTAGTCTGCATAATAGTAAGTCTAATATTTTTTGTTTGAATAAAAATTCAAAATAGAAAGCAAGAGTAATATCAGAGGGGCCTGGAGACATGACTGATGAACAAAGAAAACGTTATTTTAGAGCCAGGAATGTCTGCATTGTTCATTCTGGACCTTATTTTGAAATTGTCATATTTTTTATTTTTACGTGAAATTGGCCAAATTGCAATTTTCTGACCACATTATTAGGTAGTTGAAATCAGTAAATGGGCAGTTTCTTGTACTCAATCGATAGAAAAAATGAAGTTCTAAAGAAATAGCTATGAGTTTGGGCAACTGGAACAATGAAATTACCCGAAAATAGGGCTCAAAGTGGGCGAAATCGCCGATTTGTAAACAGCGCCGAGGTCGCTAACTTCGCGAGAGCATAATTCCGTCAGTTTTCCATCAAATTTCATTTTTTTGGTGTCATTACAATCGTGAAAAGATTCTCTATCATTTCATAAGAAAAAATAATTTTTTTTTTTTTTTAAATTTTGCGACACCAGGAGACACCTCAGGATTGGGGGTTGCGACAGTCAAAGGGTTAAATCTATTGTGGCACTGGGGACTTCTATGGGGTTGGATGTGAGTTTGGAGGATGTGGAAGAGTTGGTGGAGGACCACAACGAAGAGCTAACCACTGAGGAGCTTCAAGAGCTTCAGCAGGAACAGCAACAGATCGCAGCTCTGAATCTTGCTGCAGAGGAGGAAGAGAGATGGAGGAAGGTGCCTTCTTCAGAAATTAAGGAGATTTTTGAAATGTGGGGTAGGATGGAAAGATTTATGGAGAAACATCACCCAGAGAAGGATGGTGCAAGCCATATCAGCAACTTGTACAGTGACAGAGTCTTGGCCCATTTTAGGGAAGTTTTAAAGAGACGCCAGAAACAGAGCTCTCTGGACAGTTTTTTGCGAGACAGGACTCCAGTGACTCTCAAGGTGGTCCTAGTGGCATTAAGAAACAGAGAAGAGAAGTAACCCCAGAAAAGCAATTGGTACCCAAGGTGGTGATGGAAGGGGATTCCCCTTCCAAACAGTAATTCATCCAATCAGTCTCCTCCTCCAGTCTTCCACACACAAAGAAGAATCGCCAATAAAGGTAAGTGTTATTCTGTTAATGTTTAATTCATCATGTGCCACTGTATTGTTTATGTACTACATCTATATTTCATGTAAAAAAATTTTTTGTCTTAATACTTCTGGGTGTCAGGAATGGATTAATTGAATTTACATTATTTCTTATGGGGAAAATTGATTTGTAAATCGTCCATTTCGATAATAGTCCCACTTCCAGGAACGGATTATGGACGATTATTGAGGGACCACTGTATATATACGTCAAACACGGTGGCTCGTAAGACGTATAGCATATTCGACTTAAACAGTCAAAGGGTTAAAGTACAGGCACTGTACTTCCCATTTCCAGGACTTGAGTCCGACTAACTAGAAGGCTATAAGACAGGCCGCTGAAATTCATTTTTGGTAGTAGGTTGGTAGACAGCAACCATTTGGGGAGGTACTACCGCCCTACCAAGTGAGTGTAAAAGGAAGCCTGTACGTATTTGTTTTACATGATGGTAGGATTGCTGGTGTCTTTTTTTTGTCTCATAAACATGCAAGACTTCAGGTATGTCTTGCTATTTCTACTTACACTTAGGTCACACTACACATACATGTACACGTTTATGTATACACACTCATGTGAGTTTTCTTTGATTTTATCTAAATAGTTCTTGTTCTTATTGCTTTTCCTTTTATATCCATGGGGAAGTGGAATAAGAATCTTTCCTCCGTAAGTCATGCGTGATGAAAAAGTCGACTACAATGTCGGGAACAATGGGCTAATAACCCCTTTTCCCGTTAGCTTACTAAAAAGAAAAAGAAGAAAACAGTCAGAACCTTATATTTTATATTTTATAGCAATGTACTGAATACATAGCTTTTTGCAAAACCAACTGGGATTAAGAATCAATGACCCAATGCTTTGGTTAAATTTCCCTTATATTGGATTTCGCAATTAAACCTGTTAATATCTTTTTAGCACGCCAGCTGTCTCCCACCCAGGAAAGATGACCCAAAAAAAGAGGAAATGCTTTAACCATCATTCATTCACCCACTGATTTGCCAAGAATCATGCTGACATTACAGTTTACAATATATACGGTATATAATGCTAAAATTTCAGATTGTTCGATTCATGTTCAATTTGTAGGATCTAATGGAAGGTGTTACCAGGTAGAGCCAAACATCATAACTTTAATGTTCTAGATCATCACTTTTCCACTGACAAGCAACAGAAGGCGAATAACCAAAGGGAAAAATACATTAACCCTGAACAACTTTTATTTCCCTAAAATACGGTAATATACAGTACAGTTTACCTCACATTCTGGCAAACTCCACTTGTAGATGCCCAATAACCATTGGAGGGAATGCTGATGTTGGCTTATTGGACCACACAAATGTGCCTTTCCATGTTTTCAAAACGTGTATTATAGAATTCAGTACATTTAGACTTTTAGTGGAAACCATTATGCTAAAGAATTTTTTCATCTACCACAGTGCTAAGTTGAATATATTTTAAAATATTAGGCTTCTCTGTTGTTTAATACTGTAATCAAATGTACAAACAACCTCAAATGAACTGAACAAATGCCTATGAAGAAATATACCAAACATCCTGGGATACACATTTATTTTAGCATCTGTAAAAAAGAATTACCAGTTACCCAAATAACAAGAATGCTCGTGAAGCACTTACTTGTAAGGTTTCTGGCACTGTCTCTGGTATTGGGTCATCAGTTCCAGGCCACTTTAGAGGTTTTATATTTTTTTGTGACATTAATCCTTCTGCACAGGTGCAGGCATGATAGTGAGCCTTCTTAAATCTGTGGAATACAGATAACCTTATTTGTAACCACTAACCTTCAATACTAATTTTTTTTTTTTACAAGCAGTACTAATGCTAAGACAAATATAAAAGCTGCATTACATTTATAATGGTCTGAAGTGCTGTTAAAAGCCTAGTAAAGCAGTACCACACAGCAAATATGCTATACATATATTCTAATATGCATTAAATATTCATTGTTTCTCACAGGTGCAGTAAGGGCCACCAATTATAATGTTAACGTGTTCCTGAAAATACAAAATGGGAGTTGACACATTTACTTTTTGGGAGTTGATGTGTCAGCGGATGGGTTTATGAAGGATGAGATTAACCATAGAACTAATGAGGGAAAAAAGGTGAGTGGTGTGTTGAGGTGTATGTGGAGACAAAAAACGTTATCAATGGACGCAAAGAAGGGAATGTATGAAAGTATAGTGGTACAAACACTTTTATATGAGTGTGAAGCTTGGGTTGTAAATGCTGCAGTGAGAAGGTGGTTGTAGGCAGTGGAGATGTCCTGTCTAAGGGCAATGTGTGGTGTAAATATTATGCATAGAGTTCGAAATGTGGAAATTAGGAGGTGTGTAGTTAATAAAAGTGTTAGTCAGAGGGCTCAAGAGAGGCTGTTGAGGTGGTTTGGTCATTTAGAGAGAACTGATCAAATTAGAATGACATGGAGAGTGTATAAATCCGTAAGGAAAGGAAAGCGGGGTAGGGGTCATCCTCGAAAAGGTTGGAGGGAGAGGGAGTGGGCAAGGGGCTTGGACTTCCAGCAAGCGTGCACGAGCGTGTTAGATAGGAGTGAATGGAGACGAAAGGTTTTTGGGACCTGATGAGCTGTTGGAGTGTGAGCAGGGTAATATTTAGTGAAGAGATTCAAGGAAATGGGCTAATTTTATTAGCCAGACTTGAGTCCTGGAAATAGGAAGTACAATGCCTGCACTTTAAAGGAGGGGTTTGGGATATTGGCAGTTTGGTGGGATGTGTAATAGGACAGTATATATATAATTGGGGCCCTGATATTGTTAAAATTTCAGATCACTTTTTGTATTGTATCTTTATATATGGTTCTAAACTGCTGTATCTGGGCGCCTCTGCAAACACAGTATTTTTGTAAGTGCGTTTGTACGTGTATGTTTGGGGGTCTGAAATGGACTAATCTACTTCACAATATTTCTTATGGGAACAAATTCGGTCAGTACTGGCACCTGAACATACTTCTGGAGTGAAAAAATATCGTTAACCGGGGGTCCACTGTATTAGTCAGAGGGATGAAGAGGGGCTGTTGAGGTGGTTTGGTCATTTAGAGAGAATGGAACAAAGTAGAATGACTTGGAGAGCATATAAATCTGTAGGGAAAGGAAGGTTGGGTAGGGGTCATTCCTGAAAAGGTTGGAGGGAGGGAGTAAAGGAGGTTTTGTGGCGAGAAGCTTGGACTTCCAGCAAGTGTGTGTGAACATGTTAGATAGGAGTGAATGGAGACAAATGGTTTTTGGGAACTGACGAGCTGTTGGAGTGTGAGCAGGGTAATATTTTGTGAAGGGATTCAGGGAAACCGGTTAGCTGGACTTGAGTCCTGGAATTGGGAAGTACAATGCCTGCACTTTAAAGGAGGGTTTTGGGATACTGGCAGTTTGGAGAGACATCTAAGCTGTCATATTTGAGTAACTCTGCAAAGACAGTGACTATGCATGAGTGATGAAGTGTTGAATTTTGATGAAAGCTTTTTTTTCTTTCTATTTGGGTCACCCTGCCTTGGTGAGAAATGGCCAATGTGTTAAAAATAAAATTTCATTCTTTAACAATAAAACTGAAAAAAAAAAAATTCACTGAACAGTGTTCAAAGAAGTTCCTTTCTTGCTCATTTACTTAGCAAATATAGTTGTAGATTAATCCAAGAATTTGGCAAAGCGGCAAATGAAGGCACAAGACAGCAAAAATCAGAAAAGTAATCATGTTAGAAGGTAGCAAGGGAAGAAAAAACCATGAGTTTAGTGGGAGGCAGTGAGGGCACTGACTGGGGAGTACTGAACTGTACATGAACAGCAAATGCAGCATTGGATGAGAATACTATATGTACTAAGAATAACAGTAAACCTTATAAATCCAATTAAAAATTACTGTGTTTCCTGGCATATAAGGCAAACAATCACATAAGATATACAAGACAATGTTTCCAAGCAGTTGTAACGTAATGTTAGTAAACAACTGGTAAAGCATAACCCAAAAACCTACCCTTGACCCTGACCTTGAGCATAAGGCAAAGGGTGAATCTCAAAGACTTTTTGTAGGAAAAAATGTATGCCTTACATGCTGGAAAATATAACTTAAAGCACCCATTTACATCATTGGAATCATAATTTTAAGGTTACTCACAAATAAATTTTTTCGTAGCCAAGGCCGAGCCAATAATGTGCAGCCGGTCGATTTGGAAAGGCACTTTTGGCATCAGACAAGCTTTTCATTATTTCCATGCCATCTAGGATGTACACTCTACCAGACTGAATCCTGCATAGTCCTATTACAAACTGGATTACCTGTACCTCCAAACGCTCACTATTTCCACACTTCTGAAAAGGATAAATAAAGTTAACAATATTGTCAGGTATGAAAAACCTTTTGCTCCATAGAATGGACAGTTTCAATGACCTCTTGCCCCCACAGAATGGACGGTTTCAATGACATCTTACTACACAAAATAGACAGTTTTAACAGTCAGTGATCACTACCAAGTCTGTAACAAAGCTTATATATACAGGAACTCTATTTACATAAATATATTATGTTAAAGTGTGTCTTGGTAGTGGAGAAAATAAGAAACACTGGGAGTACCTAACAGTCCAACCAACAATGCAAGAATGCAAAACTCAGTAAAAGAAGAGCATAGAAAAGAGTGAAGAGAAAAAGTGCAATCTTAAAACTGAAGACTAGTAAAGCAAACAGAATTCGGTGAGTTTTTACAAATACAGGAAACAGACAAGTAATTTGATATGGATATAGCAGAAGCAGCAGCAGAAAAAAAAAAATCCTAGTCAAAGTTACTTCATAGTCATATCAGAAGAAAAACAATAATGGAGCAAGTGATTAAAGAAAGGAGGACTATTCACAAGAAATGACGGGAAAGTATGCAATGAAATCAACAGACGACTCCATAATGTACTTACAAACAAGCAAGGGCCAGTACCAGAGACAGAAGGAAGGACAAACCTTGAGAAACTATCATATCAAGCTTTGAGATGAACAGTGAGAAAATAACAAAAAAACCCAAATGAAATCTGACACATCAAAGACTGAATGATTGACATGAAATATCTTTTTGGATACGAACAGGCGCTGAAGAACTGTGCAAACCACTCGCACATATTTCAAACAAGCCACTAATGAGAAGTGAGTGCCCATATGATTCTACACTGAACATAATACCAGTTTAGTACAATTTAGAAAGAAAAAATTATTTTTTGTTATTATGTACAGAGAATGTCAGATGATATACCTTGCTACATACATCTTAGCCCATCAGGCCCATGTTAACCCTTCCTCCACACTCTTCACATGCTTTAAGCAACAACTAACAGAATATAAGTTTTGTGGTAGCACAGTACTTTTTAACTAGAATAGTAAAATAAAACTGATTAACAAATTTGAAGGAATCTGGAACATAATCTTATTTTTCCCATGTGTTCTTCACTTCACATAACACTGATTTTCAGGAATTCATCCCAGACATTATGGAACACTTAATATAATGTTAGAGGAAACCAGAGACTTTACAAAGGAATATATCCAAACTGGTGCCTGAGTTGAAGGTAATGAACTATGATGAAAGAATGAGAACTAAACCTCCTAGCTTTGAGACTGAAGCACAAGAGGGAATATGATCATGACACACAAAATAGGATAGCCAATAAAGGCTCTAACAGAGAAGAAAGCAGAATAAGAGGACATGAAAAGAATACACACACAAATGAGCAACAGGTTTTAAAAACACTTCTTCAACATAAGTGGTAATAGGTCGACCTGAAAAATGATACAGCAGAAGCTAACCAAGTACAGGAGTTCAAAAATTATGGTGAATTCATTTTACATTAGTCAATTAAGAGGCAGGTTCAAGGGCTAAAGCTCACTTACATATTCAAATGAGGAATTACAAATAGATAATTATAATAAAGAATTTCTTAAGAAAATATCATGTGGATCTATATTTAATCTCTCTCATCCCTTGACACCATCTTATTCACAGCAGAAAAAATTAAAGTTTTCAAAGAAAAGCATTACTAATAGTTAAAATAAATGGCTATAAACTAGCTATTGTGATACTCACATTAATATTACCATCACTATCTAGGCAACAGCATGCTAAACTTCTACTGAACATTTCTATGGCTTGATGTAGCTGTCCTGTTTCATATAATCTGCCAAAGAAAAACTTAGCAATTTCACATGTTCTTTAAGTAACACATTAGTTGCACTTGTATCCTTTTACCTAACATTATGTTGGTAACTTTACCAACATTAATACAGGTCCAATTCTGTTATTGACAATTATATATATATTAAAGAACAAAACATTATATCACAGTGTGAATTTCAAATTAGACTAAGCTTACCTTCGTCCATCTCGTAAAGTTTCATGGAAAGCATTTATTGGTTTCAAATTTTTTTCTTTTTTGGATTCCTGTCAAAAGAGGATTAAACATTACAATGGTTACCCTATAAATCTCTTTCTCAAAAAATACACTTTCCATCATAGTAAATGAAAAAAATCTTACAAAACTACTTTTAGTCATCATATCTCTCCCCCTCCCTATCTATCTCTATCTATACATCTACCTATGTATTTATCCATCTCTCTCTCTCTAACACTTTTGATATTTTCTTTTGATATTTATTATGGTCTAATATCACTTTCCCCAATTTTCATTATATGGCACAAATTTACACTGAACTCCACCATCCACAATTTTTTTTTTTTAAACACACTGGCCGTCTCCCACCAAGGCAAAGTGACCCGAAAAAGCAACACTTTTATCATCAATCACACTATCATTGTCTTGCCAGAGGTGTGCAGATATGGCAGTTTAGATGGCCCTCCAAATAGCAAATATCCCAATCTTCTCCTTAAAAGTGCAGGACTGAAGTCCAGCTAACTGGTTTCACTGAATCCCTTCACAAAATGTTACCGATTACACTCCAACAGCTCGTCACACCCCAAAAACCATGTGTTCCCATTCGCTCATCACTAACATACATATGTCTGCTCAGTGTCCACAAATCACTACAGTCATATTTTTTCTTTTTAACACTCCGGCCATCTCCCATCAAAGTAGGGTGACCTGGCAAAGAAAATGCTTTCACTGTCACTCATTCCATCACTGTTTTGCAAGAAGCATGCTAACATACAGCTCAGATGACTCTCCAAACTGCAACATCCTGGCTCCTTCAGAGAGCAGGCACTGTATTCTCACCTCCAGACCCAAGTCCAACTAACTAGTTTCCCCGAGTCTCTAAATTTATAAAGAAATTTTATAAAATAGACTAAAGAAAAATGTCCAAGGATACAACTTTTATTGGAGGACCATCTTGCCCTCAAATGCATTTATTTCTCCAAAGCAAAGAGGACTCCTCTTTTCTCTTCCTCCACCACAAGAACCGATTCCCAAAATCAGCCCAGAGAAAGCTGCACTGCCCAAGACACAAATATAATCATTTAATTAAAATACATAAATAATTAATTAAGTTAGCCAAACTTGAGTCCTGGAGGTGGGAAGTACAAAGCCTTCACTTTAAATGCAGGGTTTGGGATATTTGCTCTTTGGAGTCACATCTGAGTTATCATATCTGCACGCCTCTGCAGTGACTGTGCATGAATGATGGCAAAATTGTTTCTTTCTTTTTAGGGTCACCCTACCTCAGAGGGAGACAATCAGCATGTTGAAAAAAAAAAAATTAGGTTTGAAGACAATAAGGCCATATGTTTAAGATACTGTACAGAAACAAAAGTGATGGGTAAAAATTAGAAATATTGTAATTAATTATCTGAGCAAATCTTTACACATACAGTAGAACCTCTACTTGCGAGTTTAAGCTGTTCCATGACCTTGCTCGCAACTGGATTTGCTCGTTTGCAGAGTCAATTTTCCTCATTTAAATTAACTGAAATGCAATTAATCCGTTCCAGTGGAATTCTGTACTTCAATAATTTTGCTAATATCAACTCTACGGCTTATTTATCTATCTCACTTCATCTAATATGACATAATAAACAATATAACATAGAAACCTGATATATACTCTAAAATGACCAAAATATGTCATTCATGTAGTGGTATGGGCGGTGTCGGCGGTGGACAAGTTTGTCTGGAGACCGGGCAAAATACCTCATGAATAATTTCGCTAATATCATCTATACGGCTTATTTATCTATCACAGTTCTTCTAATATGAAATAATAAACAATATAAATCACATAGAAATCTGATATATACTCTAGAATGAATAAAATATGTCACTATGTAACAGGTGGAGGCAGCCACAACCGCTTCCTCTTTGTTGTGGTAAACACTGCCATCTAGTGACGGCCTTTTCAAGCTGTCTATTATAATTATTATATGTAGTACATTATTATTATAGATGTATTATTTGGAGTGAAATTAACAAGTTAAGGAAGCCTAGAGAACAAATGGATTTGTCAGTTAAAAATAGGACAGGAGAGTTATTAAATGGAGAGTTAGAGGTATTGGGAAGATGGAGGGAATATTTTGAGGAATTGTTAAATGTTGATGAAGATAGGGAAGCTGTGATTTCGTGTATAGGGCAAGGAGGAATAACATCTTGTAGGAGTGAGGAAGAGCCAGTTGTGAGTGTGGGGGAAGTTCGTGAGGCAGTAGGTAAAATGAAAGGGGGTAAGGCAGACGGGATTGATGGGATAAAGATAGAAATGTTAAAAGCAGGTGGGGATATAGTTTTGGAGTGGTTGGTGCAATTATTTAATAAATGTATGGAAGAGGGTAAGGTACCTAGGGATTGGCAGAGAGCATGCATAGTTCCTTTGTATTAGGGCAAAGGGGACAAAAGAGAGTGCAAAAAATTATAGGGGGATAAGTCTGCTGAGTATACCTGGTAAAGTGTATGGTAGAGTTATTATTGAAAGAATTAAAAGTAAGACGGAGAATAGGATAGCAGATGAACAAGGAGGCTTTAGGAAGGGTAGGGGGTGTGTGGACCAGGTGTTTACAGTGAAACATATAAGTGAACAGTATTTAGATAAGGCTAAAGAGGTCTTTGTGGCATTTATGGATTTGGAAAAGGCGTATGACAGGGTGGATAGGGGGGGCAATGTGGCAGATGTTGCAGGTGTATGGTGTAGGAGGTAGGTTACTGAAGGCAGTGAAGAGTTTTTACGAGGATAGTGAGGCTCAAGTTAGAGTACATAGGAAAGAGGGAAATTATTTCCCAGTAAAAGTAGGCCTTAGACAAGGATGTGTGATGTCACCGTGGTTGTTTAATATATTTATAGATAGGGTTGTAAGAGAAGTAAATGCGAGGGTCTTGACAAGAGGCGTGGAGTTAAAAGATAAAGAATCACACATAAAGTGGGAGTTGTCACAGTTGGTCTTTGCTGATGACACTGTGCTCTTGGGAGATTCTGAAGAGAAGTTGCAGAGATTGGTGGATGAATTTGGTAGGGTATGCAAAAGAAGAAAATTAAAAGTGAATACAGGAAAGAGTAAGGTTATGAGGATAACAAAAATATTAGGTGATGAAAGATTGGATATCAGATTGGAAGGAGAGAGTATGGAGGAGGTGAATGTATTCAGATATTTGGGAGTGGACGTGTCAGCGGATGGGTCTATGAAGGATGAGGTGAATCATAGAATTGATGAAGGGAAAAGGGTGAGTGGTGCACTTAGGAGTCTGTGGAGACAAAGAACTTTGTCCTTGGAGGCAAAGAGGGGAATGTATGAGAGTATAGTTTTACCAACACTCTTATATGGGTGTGAAGCATGGGTGATGAATGTTGAAGCGAGGAGAAGGCTGGAGGCAGTGGAGATGTCATGTCTGAGGGCAATGTGTGGTGTGAATATAATGCAGAGAATTCGTAGTTTGGAAGTTAGGAGGAGGTGCGGGATTACCAAAACTGTTGTCCAGAGGGCTGAGGAAGGGTTGTTGAGGTGGTTCGGACATGTAGAGAGAATGGAGCGAAACAGAATGACTTTAAGAGTGTATCAGTCTGTAGTGGAAGGAAGGCGGGGTAGGGGTCGGCCTAGGAAAGGTTGGAGGGAGGGGGTAAAGGAGGTTTTGTGTGCAAGGGGCTTGGATTTCCAGCAGGCGTGCGTGAGCGTGTTTGATAGGAGTGAATGGAGACGAATGGTTTTTAATATTTGACATGCTGTTGGAGTGTGAGCAAAGTAACATTTATGAAGGGGTTCAGGGAAACCGGCAGGCCGGACTTGAGTCCTGGAGATGGGAAGTACAGTGCCTGCACTCTGAAGGAGGGGTGTTAATGTTGCAGTTTAAAAACTGTAGTGTAAAGCACCCTTCTGGCAAGACAGTGATGGAGTGAATGATGGTGAAAGTTTTTCTTTTTCGGGCCACCCTGCCTTGGTGGGAATCGGCCAGTGTGATAATAATAATAAAATAAAATTATTATCCATATTATTATTATTGTACATGTATTATTATACTATTATTAGGCATATTATTATTATTATTATTATTACTGTTATTATATAAATAATTTCTAATTTTTATTCACACAAAAAATATAAGATTTACTGTTATTTCTTATTGCAATAATTGTATAAATAATGTCAACCCATTCACAACTGCATACTGGAATGGACATTGACGTAATTTGTTTACTCTTAAACATAGCCAAGCAATGGACCATTTCTCCTATGTTGAGCTCAATTTCAAGGTACTTATCGTTCTGAAAGCAATCAAAATCATATCTATTTCTGTAATATATCTTTCATTCTATCAAATGAAACCAAAAAAAAAAAAAAATGAGAATACAATCATAAAAACCATACAAATACGTATACCGCTAAGGTGGCTAATTGCTGAGAAGTGAACTCCATTATTTATGCTTAGATTTCTTTAATTTTTGGTGTACATTAAGAAGCATCTTTCCATCATACATTGCCCAAGTTTCAATAAGCTAGTCCAACAAACAAATGAGATACAATTCCCGAGATCAAGAGCAAGAGCCCCTCACCAGTGTCAAGGAACCTGTCTTGAGGTCTGCTCGCTCATGGAAATTTTGCTCGTGTATGGAAGCAAAAAATCAACTCATCGACTGCTCGTATTTGGAAAATCTCGCACGTGGACACGCTTGCAAGTAGAGGTTCCACTGTATTCCCAAAAGCTAGAGGTAATGCATCACAGCTATAAATGCTACTCCTTTTATCCCCCTACAACCTTCTTTCACACTGCAAAGCACTAACCAATTTTTTCCGTTCTTCCTCTTTTTCCTTTCGTTTTTCTTCTTTAATCCTTTTTTCTTCACATTCTTTTAAGTTTTCCTCTATTACTGCCTTAATTTTCCTTTTATTTTTTTCCTTTTTTCCTTTGGCTTCTTTCTTCTGCTCTTTTGTTTGGTCTTCATCACTGCTTTGCAGTAAAAAATGGGAGAAAAAAAAAACAGTAAAACTGAAGAGCAATGAAGAAAAAGTCAAATACTGCCACAAAAATCATGCATAGCAGATTTACTATTAAATATTTGTGCATAGTATTTGTCACTGAAAACATGCAATATATAGGATCATATATTTTATCTCTTAAACTGTTTTAAACTTACCCGAGAGTAAACTCCTTAAGATTCTCGAGAGTTTCCTCCACCTGTGTCTGAAGGGGCAAAAAAATATACGGTATACATCTGATTTTGAAAACATTCTTTGCATTAGATAGACGTTCCATGCCTACTGAAAAGATTCGGCATCTACAGTTGCCAAGAAATCAATCGAATTATGTACATGGTAGAATGTCTTTTGAATTTTTGTTTTAACTTTCGTGTCATTTCGATTTTAGACATTGTGATGTAATTCACTACTGTGCTGAGAAGGCTGCAGATGCTACAAAGACACAGATGTTACGGTCTTATGTTTAATCTGCAACCTTTTCACCATGTATACAGGATAATCTGAGTAAAAAATACAGTATATATTATAGTAATAAAATAAGTAAATACTCAATGAAAATTGAAGAAAAAAAAAATTCAGAGAAAAGCATTCTCAAAAAACATTTCATAAAGTGCCAAAAAGCCAAGCAAGTTTAACTTTGTCACAAGTATATGCGGTATTACACAAGTTTACAAGCTATAGCAATAAACAGTACAGTTCAATCTCTAAATGAATGAGCTTCCCTAACTCGCATGCTTCAATTATAAAACATTTTTAACCCTTTCATTGTCCATGCTGTAGTACTACGGGATTGCAGTCACTGTCGGTGCCGCAGTACTATGCAACAAGCTCAGCTCACTCAGATAAAACGTGAGCAGTAAATCTAGACCTAGATATGAGAGAAAGGGTCTGTGTGTTAAGTGCACCATATAAAAAAAATCCTGCAGTACACAGTGCATGAGAAAAAAAGAACTGTGACAGTGCTTTTGGCTTAAAATGCAACTTTGTGGTGTCCATATTTTCGTACGGTTTTTGTGGTTGTATTATCGGTTCCTTGGTCTCATTTGATAGAATGGAACATCTTTTTTTTTTTTTTATCAAGTCAACCGTTTCCCACCGAGGCAGGGTGACCCAAAAAGAAAAAACTTAAGTCATTCAACACTTTCACCATCACTCATACATAATCACTGTCTTTGCAGAGGAGCTCAGATACAACATTTTAAATGTCCCTCCAAACTGCCAATATCCTAAACCCCTCCTTTAAAGTGCAAGCATTGTACTTCCCATTTTCAGGACTCAAGTCCGGCTAACTGGAAGATGTATTACAGAAATTGAGATGATTTTGATTGGTTTTAGGACTGAAAATAGTTTGAAATTCAGGTCAAAGTATGAAATCTTCAATTTTTGCCAATAGTATTAAAGAGTAAATCAATCACATCACTTGTCCAATACATGTCCAACAGGTGGGTCTAATGTGCGTTCATGAATGTGCTGATATTATTCTCACAATTATTGCAATACTGCGTAACAGTAAATCTATTTTTTGGTGTGAATAAAAAAATCAAAATGGAATTCACATGTAAAGCCAGGGAACATAACTAATGAACAGCAGAAGTGTTATTTTAGTGCCAAGAATGCTTGCACTGTTTATTCTGGACACTATTTTGAAAATGGAATATTTTGAAATTTTTGTGAAATTGGAAAAATTACCAATTTCTGATCACTTTACTGAGTAGCTGAAATAGTTGACAAGGCGGTCTCTTGTGCCCAATCAATAAAATGGAAGACATACTAGTGAAACAGCTAAGAATCTGGTCTACTGGAATAACGTAACTGGTCTAAAACAGGACACAAAGTGGGCAAAATCACCAATGTGTAAATATCGCTGACAGCAAAATTCGTGAAAGTGTAATTTTGTTATCTTTCTACCAAATTTCAAACTTTTTATTTAATTACCTTCAGAAAAAGATTCTTGACCATTTCATACGTAGAAGTAAAAATTTTTTTTTTAAATCCTTGGACGCTGTGGACAAGTTTCAGATCCGGGGTCTGGACAATGAAAGGGTTAACATTCTTCAAAAGATATCATCAAATTAAATACAAATGATGCAAATACAGTATTAATACACAATATCATACACATTTCCCAATATATTTTTTCCCAAATTATAGAGAACTTACCAATATTGTGTTTTACCAAATTACTGAGAACTTACCGATATTGTGTTTTTTGTAAATGCTACAGCCTTCTCAATGAGAAAATTCGAAGCAGCAGATGATATATTAGCTGATCTGGTAACAGCAGTGAGCAGAGCTGGAACCCTCTCCAAGCTATTTGTAATAATAGCTTCTATTTTCTCTGAAACGAGATATACACAATGGGGTAATTGCACTGGCCTTGGCTATGGTGAAATATTATGGGTGCTTAGATAATATTTTATTGCAATAAGCATGCTTCACACACCTTGAGTTTCCTCTGTATTTAATTTCGGCATTCCATCGATAATTTGTTGAAGGTCCTTGCTTTTACCACAGATAAAAATTCCACTCTCTGCATATACAACTGCTGGCGTACTGTCCCGCAGATAAAGAGCAGCCTGTGCAGCTCGATAATATACCTGAAAAAATATGCACACAGTTGTCCATGGTATAATGTGAACATTAACCCCTCATACCAGTTATTACATACCTATACACTTGCCTGGGGAACATGGAAAGACGAAAACACACTTTTTTTTTTTTTAGCATAAGGCTATGATTTTTGCTTTCTGGTGTTCTTAGTAGAAGTTACTGCCACATTACTGACTCATATCAACTATTTTTGACAAATAAAGAAATTACTGGCTTGAAGCAGCTTGTACTAACCCCTTCTTTTCTAGATAGTAACCACAAAATGCCAATCACAAAACACACCATAAAAAAAACTTTAGGAGTTGTAGCTTTGGGGGTATATTGTTATCATGAAAGGAAACTAAAAACTTTCTGAACAATGAGTCTATAACTGCCTGACCCCTTAAATAAAGAATGCTTTCTGTGACAGTTTCATGAATGACTCTCGCAGACTACATAAAAACAAAAGAAGCACTAAATACATAAAGCTACAGAAAGCAAAACTTACAAAACTATAACACCAATGAAAAAAGATTAATAAGTGTTATTACCTTTTCAATAAATGGATTCATTTTAATAGCAATTACTGCATCTTTTTCAGCTTCTTCATACTCCTCCATTTTAAAGTGAGCTTGGCTACAATTGGACCAAACTCTATAGTCGAAAGGGTCCTTTTTCTTAGCTGCAAAAAGAAAATTTTGCATTATATACTACAGATACAACACACAAAGTGCTGAAAATTTGTATTTGAGCAGTATATACAATATTTACCTGTCTAAGAACTAGATATTAGCTGATCACCAAGGGTAGGTTATCCATCGGTTACCTGTAGGCAGTTCAGGGAGGTCATGTAGCATGGTCCCTGACCAGGTTGCCAGCCTGATTGTTGGTGCTAGCCACATGCAGACCAACGTTTGCACTACAGCAGGAATTCGCAACCTTTTCTATGCCTTGCACCCCTAGGAAATGTTTGATCAATGTTGTCCCCCCCTCCTACAAAAGTAATATCGTATTTGAAGATGAAGAAATATAAACTGAACAATTAAAAAGGATTTTGGTAAAATAAACAGAACTGCACTTTTCATTAGGACTCTTAGTTGCACCCTTTGAAATGCCATCTTGCACCCCAAATTGGGAGCCCCTGCACTACAGCATGGATAGTCAGGAACTCATTTGACAATTTTATCAAGATCCCTCCTTAAGATAACTAGAGTTTTATAATCTAAATGTGAATGGCACTCGAGTTATGACAAGCATCTCCACGCAAGATCAATGATGCAGAACCTATCCTTGTCTACCCTCCTTATACCCCACTGTAATTTGTATTCTGTGATCATACCCTTTTTTGTTAAAAGTTCTGAAACTTTTTCTTCCTACTTATAAGTATACAATATCCACAGCAATGTGTTAACATTATCATACGTAAACCACTGTTACCTGTATCACAGCATAACGTGTATGCACAGCAGTGTTACTAACCTGTATCATACAATGCAATAGCTTCATTATACTCTTGTTGATTGAAGCAAGTATTACCACGGCATCGAAGTGATTCTGCTTCTTCCTGCAGCTGCTTAGACTAAAAGAGAATTTAAAGTAAACTATCAAAAGCTTTCTCATTACAAAAACTTTTTCTTAAATATCAAAACTTCCCAAATTAAATCTTTTTATTAACCAGTCTCCATCTATGAATCAGTTTTGGTTCAAGGTCCACACACACATTTAGCCATTACCAAACTTAAACCTGTGTTGTATTGCCTGTAATCAGTGATTTGCAAACCCACTGAAAAATACATCTTGTATTTTTGTTGCTGCATGAAATGAATAATTAAAACAGTTTTCCCTGGTCAAAATATCAATTCACACAAATCTCTCTAATATAAAGAACCATTCCAACTTTAGTTTCACTAAAGTAGGAATAGTTCTTACATTACTGTACTTCCTCTCAAGAGCAATACGTATTTCACTTTGATCAATGACATGAACATCAGTAAACCAGCTGCTATGGCTGCTGTACACAAAATCTACTTCACCTTCAAATCTGTGCTCACTGGTACAACTTTCCTTAATGCTTCAGACAGCACTTGCTTTTGTCATTCCCCTGCTATTGAGCCAAAAACTTCACTGAGCATATCATCATTTGACTAAGATCTGCATCATGTAGTTTCCTCTAATGAATAAGCAACCAGGGTGAAGATATTTACAAAAACAAAGAATACAAATTTCAGAAAGTCCTGTAGCTTAGAATAATAAACTAACTACATTGAAACTCATGTCTCACTATATGTACTACATACTTTTTAAAAGCTGCTCGATGTAAAATTATGTTAGTCATCATCATCATCATCATCGATTGATACAGATATTACTGATATTCTTAAAGTACATACAGTAGGCACAACATCTTTCACATCTCTAGGTATTGCACTTCTGTCTGTTTGCAATTAATTTTTCTGCATTTTTGACATAGACAGCCTTTGTGGGAGAGAAATTTCCTGCTCAGCTGTGGGAAATGGTTTCTGAAGGTGACTATGAACCTGCGCAAGTCTTTAATGCTGATGAGACAGGATTATTCTGGAAGATGACTTCTAGAACTTACATCAGCAAACAAGAAAAAAGTGCTGCTGACTTCAAGCAAGCAAAGTCTGAAGGAACTATTATTTACACTACTTACATCTACTTACAGTATGTCAATCAGTCTCATAACATATTCCTACTCTGCCACTTAAATCTCCTAACATGACAACTCTATATAGAGCCTCTTGAGAAGGGTACCAATTTCACTCTAAAATGTCCCTAAACACATTTCCTTAATTCACTTTATAACAGCACAATATCTACAAAATGTATTAAAAATATACAATTTCAGGTTGGTTAAATAATAACTAAGGGTTGATTTAGCCTGCACAGTACAGCATAAAATCAAGAACCAGAATTATGAAAAAAAAAATGCTAGTGAAAATAACAGAACAATGTTAACCTTTGCCTCCATGCATTTAAATACATACCAAGAGTGTGTATGCATGAACACAAAAGTTATTTTAATATCTACTGTAGCCCAGTTTCCTCAGTGACCTCCAAGTTAGAATCTTTCTAATCACACACCAATTCAGGAAGACGGGACAAGATTAAGACTGGCTTCACAGTGGGATCAGAGATAATGAAGACATTCAAGGAAATCCTTGTACATGTACAGTACTCACCCCTCTTATGTGCTCCCCAATTTTTGGATCTAAGTTTCTCTGCAAAGAAAAATATTTACATTACAAAATAATTATGGTAATTTCAACTCAGACTGATAAACATTTATTAAAACAAAGCATCCATGAAACAATTCCTCTAGGAAATAAACTAAGAAAATAAGAGGAAGATGAGCATCTCAAGGAAGGAATTAGAAGTAAAGATGCATTCAATCCCAGGCAAGCGATGTTTTGGAAAGACTCTCTACACCTGTTGCACCTGTTCACCTAGTAGTGATGATGTCCATGGAATTACAGCATGAAATCATAGATAAACAAGCGAGGTGTGAGGTGACAGTAGGAGCTAGTAGTAAGTAGCGTATCTTCCACTCTCCACCTCCGCCAGTGTACGTACAATATTACATTTTTATATAATATTTCTTATTTATGAAACTAGTGCAGTTAGCCTCATAAACACTCCATTTTCTCTTATAATAAAAACATGGGAAGATATAGTCAACAGGAGAGGGAATCGATGCCGCTGCCACCACTCACCATATTATGGCCTATTTTATTCATTCTAGAATATATATCATGTTTCTATGTTAATTATATTGTTTATGTCATATTAGATGAATTGTGATAAATAAACTGAAGAGTTGATATTTGCAACATACTGAAGTATTTTTGTCCTGCCTCCCAAAGCAGGAATTTCGCTGGAACGGATTAATGGCATTTCAGTTAATTTAAACGAGGAAAACTGACTTGGCATACGAGCAGATCATTTTATGAGCTAGGTCATGGAACAGATTAAACTCGTAAGCCGAGGTTCCACTGCATCACATAATCTTATACTACAGAGAATTCGTAGTGTGAAAATTAGGAGGTGTGGACTTACTAAAAGTATTAGTCAGAGGGTTGAAGAGGGGCTCTTGAGATGGGTTGGTCATTTAGAGAGAATGGAACAAAGTAGAATGACTTGGAGAGCATACAAATCTGTAGAGGAAGGTGGGGTAGGGGCCGTCCCTGAAAAGGTTGGAGGGAAGGGGTAAAGGAGGTTTTGTGGCGAGGGGCTTGGACTTCCAGCAAGCATGCATAAGCGCTAAATAGGAGTGAATGGAGACAAATGGAGCTGTTGGAGTGTGAGCAGAGTAATATTTTGTGAAGGGATTCAAGGTAACCAGTTAGCCAGATTTGAGTCCTAGAGGTGGAAAGTACAATGCCTGTACTTTAAAGGAGGGGTTTAGGATATTAGCAGTTTGGAGGGACGTCTAAACTGTCGCATCTGAGAGCCTCTGTGATTATGAGTGATGGTGAAAGTGCTGAATGATGATGCTGAAAGTTTTTCTTTCTTTTTTGGGTCACCCTGCCTCGGTAGGAAACGGCCGACATGTAAAAAATAAAATGTAAAAACTGTTTTTTGTTTTTTTTAAACAAACCAGCCATATCCCACCAAAGAAGGGCAACTAAAAAAAGAAAAACAAAAGTCTTTCCTTGTACATTTAGAAATTTATACAGGAGAGGGGGGTTACTAGCCCCTTGCTCTCAGCATTATAGTTGCCTTAAGATATGCATGGCTTATGGAGAGAAGAATTCTTTTCCACTTCACCATGGAGATAAGAGGAAATAATGAAGAACAAGAACTATTAAGAAAATAGAAAACCCAGATGGGTGTGTAAATATATATATGCATGTACATGGATGTGTTCTCCATGGGGAAGTGGAACAGAATTCTTCCTCCGTAAGCCATGCGTGTCGTAAGAGGCGACTAAAATGCCGGGAGCAAGGGGCTAGTAACCCCTTCTCCTGTATACATTACTAAATTTAAAAAGAGACTTTTGTTTATCTTTTTACGCCACCCTGCCTCGGTAGGATATAGCTGGTTTGTTGAAAGGAAGAAGAAGACATGGATGTGTAATGTGACCTAAGTGTAGGTAATGTAATGTTTTTATTTTTTATTATTAGCACACTGGCCGTCTCCCACCAAGGCAGGGTGGCCCGAAAAAGAAAAACTTTCACCATCATTCACTCCATCACTGTCTTGCCAGAGGTGTGCTTATACTACAGTTATAAAACTGTAACATTAACATCAGCAATCCTACCATTGTGTAAAATAATTACACGTTCCATTTCACACTCACTTGGCAGGACGATAGCACTTTAAAGAATGAAAAATTATTTTCCGTGAAAGGTTTCATGAACCACTCTTTTCTGTGAAGCTTCCACAAATGCCCAGATTCTCCTCAACCAATTTACCACCCTTTACTCCTAATTAAATCAGCCTAAAATAAACAGAGAGCATCACTTCCAGTGAGCAAACCTGCATCAATATTCAATAAAATTATTGTACTGTATTGTTCTTTATACAGTAGCTCTGTTTTGTTTCATTAATTTTTCTTTTTTTTTAACAAGCTGGGTATCTCCCACCAAGACCTGAAAAAGAAACACTTTCACCATCATTCATACTATCACTTTTGCCAGAGGTGTGCACATATAACAGGTCAGATGTCCCTCCAAACAGCAAATATCCCAAACCCCTCCTTTAAAGTGTAGGCATTGTACTTAAAGTAATGAATGTAAAAAAAGTGTAAATATTTTTACTTTCAGGGAAACATTATCTTGTAAGTGGGAGACCTACTGTATGAAAATAAACTCAGGAATTATTCCAAATATACTTAAACCCTCATAATCAACTTTTTCTTTCTACCATATACAGGTCTCCCTCAACATTCGCGTTTTCCCAACTTGCGGCTTCCCACATCACAATTCCCACTGCCAAATTCCCAACTGCCAAAATTCAGCTGCAAATCATATTTAAGTTTACCGCCACGAGTCCTTACTATCCTCCCTCCGACCCCTGCAACTGGCAGCCAGCCCTCCCACCACTGTGTGGTGACTGTTTTGTTTGTTCATTATTTGCTATTAAACTACAGTATAAATAATGTAAACCCATCCATGACTGCATATTAGAATGGCTATTCGGACAGGTATTGGAAGGTGACATGTGTTTACTCTTGAACACAACAAAGAATCAAACATTTCTGCTACTGCTAAATAATAATAATAATAATAATAATAATAATATTAATATAATATATAATAATAAATAATAATAATAATAATAATAATAATATAATAATAATAAAAATAAATACATAGCACTGAAGAAGGAACTGTACAAAATTACGAGGTAAGCATGGTGGAGGAAGTGTTGACGCATCGTCAGGTGGCTTTGTTATGCTGGAGTGAGTATTAGTCTCCACGCTCTTCCAAACATTTCACAATAATTCACTGTATTGGTGCTTTGATTGAGTGTGACTGGAGTGGTTGAGGCAGTGGTAAGGCAGTTAGAGGCATGGTGAGGCGCAGTTGAGCAGTGTAAGGCAGTGTAAGGCATTGTGTGAGGCATGGTAGAGCAGTGATATTACTAACATCATGTTATCAATAATATAGTACATTATGAATAACATTTATTATTATTATTATAATGTTATTAATACATGGACCCGGTTAACGAAGTTTTTCACTAGGAGTATGTTCAGGTGCAGTACTGACGAATTTGTTCCATTAAGAAATATTGTAAGTAGATGATCCATTTCAGACCCAAACATACACGTACAAATGCATTACATAAATACCTTACATAATTGGTCGCATTGAGTAATCGTTATGCGGGGTCACTGTATTAACATTACTATTATTATTTATAATATAATGTTAGTTAATATAGTGAAGGGATTCGAAACCGGTTAATTTCATATATCGGACTTGAGTCCTGAAATGGGAATGTTCAATGCCGCACTTTAAGAGGGTTTGGATATTGGCAGTTTGAGGGATATGTTGTATTCTACGTATATGCTTCTAAACTGTTATATTCTGAGCCCTCGCAAAAGCAGTGTAATGTTGATGTGCTGAAATGTTGAATAGATGAAGTATTCTTTTGGGGATTTCTTTCTTTGGGTCCCTGCCTCGGTGAGACACCGACTTGTTGAAAAAAAAAAAAAAAAAAAAAAAAAAAAAAATGTTAGTAAATACCACTGCCTCACCCACTGCCTCTATCACTGCCTCACCCACTGCCTCTATCACTGCCTCACCCACTGCCTCTACCACTGCCTCTACCACTGCCTCTACCACTGCCTCTACCACTGCCTCTACCACTGCCTCAACCACTCCAGTCACACTCAATCTACAAGCACCAAATACAATGAATTACAGTGGACCCCCGGTTAACGATATTTTTTCACTCCAGAAGTATGTTCAGGTGCCAGTACTGACCGAATTTGTTCCCATAAGAAATATTGTGAAGTAGATTAGTCCATTTCAGACCCCCAAACATACACGTACAAACGCACTTACATAAATACACTTACATAATTGGTCGCATTCGGAGGTAATCGTTATGCGGGGGTCCACTGTATTGTGAAATGTTTGGAAGAGCGTGGAGACTAATACTCACTCCAGCATAAACAAAGCCACACTGACGATGCGTCAACCACTTCCTCCACCACTGCTTCAGCCCCCGTATTTTTGTACAATTTCCTTCTTCAATTCTATCGTATTTATTATTATTATTATTATTATTTTATTATATTATTATTATTATTTTTATTATATTATTATTATTATTATTATTATTATTATTAGCAGTAGCAGTAGCACAAATGTTTGATTCTTTGCTGTATTCAAGAGTAAACACATGATGTCACCTTCCAATACCTGTCCGAATAGCCATTCCAATATGCAGTTATAAATGGGTTGACATTATTTATACTGTAGTTTAATAGCAAATAATGAACAAACAAAACAGTCACCACACAGTGGTGGCAGGGCTGGCTGCCAGTTGCGGGGGGTCGGAGGGAGGGTAGTAGGGACTTGCAGTGGTGGAGGCAGTGGTATTTAATAACATACATGTTGTTAAGGCATAACGTATGTATTTAGTACAATTTACGACGTTTTCATGTATTTTATGATTGTTCATGGTTCAACAAGTTAAGAAGCAGTATTGTATTATATTTCCCTACAATATATTGGGGCACCAAACATTCACGGTTTTTCAACATTCGCGAGGCTCTTGATCCCCTAACCCTCGTGAATGTTGAGGGAGACCTGTACTATATATGATAGGTAGATGGTGAGTCTAACCCAAAAATCAGCAGAGTAGAGCGATTATACATATTACATTTAATGACTATGCTGAAACTGCAGTCATGCAAATTCATTGCAAAGATGTTTTCACATGAGACTCACCAAAATTTGATGAACGTGATTGATTGCATCTACGTAGGATGTAAAAGGATCTAATGACCCTAAGATACTTTTAGTTACATGATGGTGTTCCAACAAAGAGTAACTTTTGATATAAAGGGGATGAAATCCTTTGTCCTCAAGTGGATGCTGCCCTTCCGTCCTCTCTTCAAGTAACATAAAACATACCTGTAAATAAACAGCAATGAAATTAAAAGGAGCATCAATACATCATAATGTTTAATAATTTATTTGGCTTAAATCTCATACTACTTTTCTTTAGGTACAATGCACACCCAGGTTTTTTACTGAAAGATAATGTACAAAGTACATACGTAGTGTAGTGTATAAAATTGTATATGGCACAGGAAAAAATTAACAAATATAAAAAGTTGAATTGTTATAGCAAATACTGCCACATTATGTGGAGATGAAATTGTACCATTTCAACAGCTAAACTGTACTGCTACCGTTAAAATAATCTTAATCTTTGGAGCCCCAGCAGAAACAGGGAAATTTGGAACACAGGAGGGAAGGAGGATGGATGCAGGGAGACAGAATTGGGAGGAAATAAGCAGAAGTTTGGAGGAAAAATACACATGGCTGTTGGATGTCCAAGCCCCCTTGCATACAAAAACCTCCTTTAGCCCCCGTCTCTCCCATCTACAGATTTACATATATACCCTCCATATCATCCTATTTTGCTCCATTTTCTCTAAAGAAATACACAGATATCACAACTCAAATGACTCTTTGAACTGCAATGTCTCAATGTGAGACATTTCTATAAAATAATCACATTAAAGCACTAAAGTCAAAAATACATTACCTGTCTTTCAGCATCAAGCAACTCACCTCCTTTATTGCAAGGATAGCACCAACTCTGAATTTAGGATTATAATTTTCATTCAAAAGAATTATTACAGGTGAAACATGCTTCCCATCTGATAGCCTTAAGTAGCATGACACATCAGTACTTGCAATGAAAATAACCTGTAAAAGAATAACATACTAAGAATGCATATCTGAAACCTTATAAACTATCATCACACATTTACATATTTATAAACTAGCCTCAGATGGCTAAGATATCATGATCAAATCTACTAACTTTCCCACATTCTGATCTTACTTAACGGAAGTGTGTACGGCATAACTGTGTCTTTGACACAGTAATTGTATTCTACAGTACTGTGCGTATCTGGATACTTATTATATTCATTAGAAAGCATTAAACCCATAGGGGATCATATAATGTCTGGGGGAATGGAGGCAGCAAGATTTCATCCAAGGAAGGGAAGGATAACTCCAGTTTCTTGAACCAAGGGTCCTTCACTAGCATCACGTCAACCTTCTTGAAGAACCTGAATTATGAAGGGAGTGAAAATGCTAATAACAGAATGGTAGAATATTGGAAAGACATCAAGAGGGACTTCTAAACTGTCATATCTTAGCACCTCTGTAAAGACAGTGATTATACTATATGAGTGAGGTGACAGTGTCGAATGATGATGATGAAAGTACGTATTTTCTTTTGGGGATTTTTTTTCTTTTTGGGTCACCCTGCCTCGGTGGGAGACGGCCGACTTATTGAAAAAAAAAATCGAAAAGTATGTGCTGAAGTCAGTGGAAGCTTAACAAAATTATATTAAACGTTAAACAATGAAGACGGCCATTACGAGCATAGCTCCTGTAGAAAATTCATTATTAATGTATCTCTTCTTCACCTGATTATCGTCACTACAATTACATTTTCCTTCCCAAAAACATGAGGTGAATATATTTTTAATACTGCAGCTACCGCAGCTACCAGCAAATTTAACAATGATAACAGAAGTTGGAGAGTAACATTTTAATAACAAAATCATGTGCATAAAATGGATGCATTATGGGAAGAGATGCCCCAAGGCACACCAGTCTGAATTAAAACAAGATTTGTGATGGAAGTGCTGCAACCCAACTTAGCATCAATCAGTATTCTAGGATTCTAAACCCTCAATCAACCCTCTGTAACCCAGAGTGTGCATCTCCTGTAAAAGGCCTACTCATTTTTATAAGCATTATCTTACTTAGGTTTCACAATACCCTGCTTATCCTCATTTAAACCAGTCAGTATGTTTATTTAGTGTGATGAACAAATTTATATCACATAATTAAAGCAGGAAATTAATTGCAGTGCCTGTGTTTCCCAGTATTATATTGCTATACCCTGAAGAGAAATTTAGTCCACTGGAATCAAGACAGTCAGAGATACTGAAGTTAAATTTGAAATTAGTCAAGGTATACTTTCTCTCTAATCATTAGATTAGTTTCATCCATATTACTTATGATTAGTGGCATTTTATTTAATAATTTTTACTTATTATGGTATAAAGCCTGGTCACAGACTGGGCCATGGAGGCACTGACCCTTGAAACCCTATCCAGGTATACTCCAGGTATATGTAATTCAAAGTGGTTTGAAAGTGAATTGATGTTGTACACACCCACCATTGTAGCTCACCCCCTTGTGCCTTCTGCATGTTATTCAGCTCATTATTTATTTAAATACATTTTTTTTTTTAAACAAGTCGGCCGTCTCCCACCGAGGCAGGGTGACCCAAAAAGAAAAAATCCCCAAAAAGAAAATACTTCATCATCATTCAACACTTTCACCTCACTCACACAATCACTGTTTTTGCAGAGGTGCTCAGAATACAACAGTTTAGAAGCATATACGTATAAAGATACACAACATATCCCTCCAAACTGCCAATATCCCAAACCCCTCCTTTAAAGTGCAGGCATTGTACTTCCCATTTCCAGGACTCAAGTCTGACTATATGAAAATAACCGGTTTCCCTGAATCCCTTCACTAAATATTACCCTGCTCACACTCCAACAGATCGTCAGGTCCCAAATACCATTTGTCTCCATTCACTCCTATCTAACACTCTCACGCACGCTTCCTGGAAGTCCAAACCCCTCGCCCACAACACCTCCTTTACCCCCTCCCTCCAACCTTTTCGAGGATGACCCCTACCCCGCCTTCCTTCCCCTACAGATTTATACACTCTCCATGTCATTCTACTTTGATCCATATATACTCATTACGTATTTATTTATATACATACGTATATACTTACTCTCGTTACCTGCAATTCCCCTAATTTACACTTACACTCACCCAAATGACTGTAAACATAAAATTCCTAATACTACAGCTATAGAAACAGTGTATCATGCCTAGATAAAATCATTTCCATTACTAAATTTACTAATTGTAATATTGTTATATGTTTTGTACTACCTCACTATTATCAATCTAATTAATGTTAATCATGTCTGTTACCTTACTTTTATATTAGTATGCAATAATTTATATTAAAGTATACTGCTCCATAACCTGTGTCATTACAGAGTAAGAATTAGGATTAGTCTGCCCGAAATGCCTAGGAATGCTAGTGACCTTTGTAATTAATATTTTATAATATGTAAATCATACATTGTAAGCTTTGCAAGGAAATAAACATTTTCATTTCATTGGCTACCATAATATAGTACAGTACTGGCATTTTTTTTTTAAATATACTCACCTGCATGTTAATAGCAGTCTTAATTTCTTGATTAAAGAGTGATAGAACCCCATTCTTTGTCAGGCTCTTGGATTTGCCACTCATCTTTTCTGAAATTAAACATTTATTTCAACACCCATTTCACTAAAATTTTGTACACTGAACTGCACTATATTGAATATAGTACAGTACTGTATATTAAATGAAGGTTTAGCAAGGATTATTTTGTTATACTCGATATGTATATTTCTGAACTTAAAATATGCAGGTGTATAGTTAACCCTTAACCGGTCCAAACAGAGCGACGTTCAAATCCGTAGTGCTCCAAAAGTAGATCTACTTTTTTTTACATATTTTCAAATATAACAAAAAAAAAATGTAGATAAAAGTTTTTTTTACACATTTTCAAATGTAAAACAAAAAAGAAGATCTACATTTTTTTACATACTTTCAGATGTTGAAAAAACGTATATATACGTTTGGACCATTTAACCCTTTGACTGTCGCAGCCGTATATATACGTTTACGAGGTACCGTGTTTGACGTATATATACAGTGGACCCCCGGTTAACGAACTTTTTTCATTCCAGTAGTATGTTCAGGTGCCAGTACTGACCGAATTTTTTCCCATAAGGAATATTGTGAAGTAGATTAGTCCATTTCAGACCCCCAAACATACACGTACAAACGCACTTACAAAAATACACTTACATAATTGGTCACATTTGGAGGTAATCGTTATGCGGGGGTCCACTGTACTCATAAATTCTAGCGGCTTCAAATAAGGCAGGAGAAAGCTGGTAGGCCCACATGTGAGAGAATGGGTCTGTGTGGTCAGTGTGCACCATATAAAAAAAATCCTGGAGCACGCAGTGCATAATGAGAAAAAAAACTCTGACCGTTTTTTTTTAATTAAAATGCCGACTTTATGGTCTATTTTCGTAAAGTATTTGTGGTTGTATTCTCGTTTTCTTGGTCTCATTTGATAGAATGGAAACTATATTATAGAAATAGAGGTGATTCTGATTAATTTTACTATAAAAAGAACCTGGAAATGGAACACAAAGTACGGGAAATGTTTGATTTTTGCCGATGTTCAAAAGTAAACAAATGATGTCATTGTCCAATAAATGTCCAAATAGCCATTCTAATATGCAATCATGAATGGGTTGATGTCATTTTTACAATTATTACAGTATTGCAGTAGTCTGCATAACAGTAAATCTTCTATTTTTTGTTTGAATAAAATTTCAAAATAAAAAGCAAGAGTAATATCACAGGGGCCTGGAGACATGACTGATGAACAAAGAAAATGTTATTTTAGAGCCAGGAATGTCTGCATTGTTCATTCTGGTCCTTATTACTGTACCTCTGGCCAGTACGGGAGACAGCTCCAGAACAACAAACCGACATCGGTTCTCTAGCTTAAAGAGGCAGCAGCAGAATCAATTGTCATATTTTTTAATTTTCGTGAAATTAGCCAAATTGCAAATTTCTTACCATGTTATTGGGTAGTTGAAATCGGTAAATGGGCAGTTTCTTGTACTCAATCGATGGAAAAAATGGAGTTCTGAAGAAATAGCTATGAGCTTGATTGACTGGAATAATGGAATTAGCCGAAAATAGGGCTCAAAGTGGGCGAAATCGCCGATTTGTAAATATCGCCGAGGTCGCTAACTTCGCGAGAGCGTAATTCCGTCAGTTTTCCATCAAATTTCGTTTTTTTGGTGTCTTTACAATCGGGAATAGATTCTCTATCATTTCACGAGAAAAAATAATTTTTTTTATTTTTTAAAATTTGCAACACCAGGAGACACCTCAGGATTGGGGGTTGCGACAGTCAAAGGGTTAAGGGTTAAACCCTTAATTGGATGGGGTTTGGTTCCTAGAAGTGACATTACACTTGTAAGTAAATTTATATAGGACAGGTACATATAAGTACAATTATCATACTTAGTAAATTACCTATGATAACCCCAAAAAAGTCAGATACAGTAATACGTACTAAATTTTGCACATCCAAATTATTTAAATATTTTAAGGACACATCTCTTTATATAAACATTTCTCTAATCTGCTTTAAGTGACATTCATAAAAACGAAAGAGTAAATTCTGAATGAAACATATACGATAATGATAATTTTTATTTCATTTCTATAAAGTATAAAATTTATGAAGAATCAATCAAGACGACTGGCGTACTTTACAGAAAGCCCCTAATTATGGATAGCATTTTGGGCAGCCTTAAAATTAATTATAACTACCGAACAATTATTTAATTAGGTTACTTTACAAGAATCGCTCAGATTATGAAATATGTGAATTTTGACTTTTCATGTTTGTGAAATTCCTTTTTATAACAATTCAACAATTTTGCAAGCTACAATGTGAGTATCACTCTAAATATTCATTAATTTACAAAAAGTTTTTATAGGTCAGGCTTAGTAAGTTTATTTAGGCAAAGGCACACAAAAGTACGATTAGGGTGTCCCGTATCTTGATCGCTAGCGTACTCAGCTCACACACTGAGGTCCAGAGTTCAAATCCCTGGTACGGCTGGAAAACATTAGGTCGTGTTTCCATAAGACACCTGCTGGCCATGTTCACCCATCAGTATAAAACGGTACCTGAGTGTTAGTCGACTTGTGTGGGTTGCATCCTGTGACAAAATCAACCTAATTTGCCCGAAATTCTCTGCATAACAAGCGGCTTTCTATATAGTAGTATGTCATTGATGTAAGCTAGGCCTGTATACCTTGTACATGTACTTGTAGTAAATAAAGATATTATTATACATAATAACATGTGTGTAAGTTACCCAGGATAACCCCAAAAAAATCAAAGTAACTACTTTCATTGGGTCCTCAACGATTTCAGTGATGACATCCTAGCACTGACAAATGGTACAATGTATTTCAATTAAGGTCCCATTTTTATGTATTTTATTTAGGCACATATATACACTGTCTACCAACTAATAAAACCAAAATATAGTTTTATAATAGATGTAGTAATTTTTTGAGCCAATATAGGATGACAATGCGAGTGATGGTGAAACTAGTAAAACCTTTAGAAATAAGTCACTTTGACTTTTCTGGGTTATTCTAGGTAATTTACACTATGGTAATTGCACTTATGTGTACCTGTGCCTAAATAAACTTTTTTCACTAGATGATCTTTGGACTTTGTCAATAAAACATATGTGATATTAACTCAGTATCAAGCGATTCTTACATAAGAGGCAGTACTATGTGGTGCAAATAGTAATGTATTATTATTATTACAATCAAAACTAAGGGCTAAACCTACAAGGGTTAGACAGTGGCAAGAAACCTAACCTAACAAAACCCACCTAACTTAACCTTATTCTGCAATGTGACTGTTTAAACTCACTGTGATTGGCCAGGAGGCAATACTAAGCATCATTATTATTATAATCAAAGTGCTAAAATACTAAGCATTGATTGGCTCTGATGTGCCGCTTTTGCTATCCCCCCCGAAAAATGTATTTTGTCCGATAACATTTTCCAAAACAATATTTTGAGTGTGAAATAGCTGTTTAGTTAGCCCAAAATGCTCATGCATGCTAGTGGCTCTCTTTGTGCTTAACAATATTTCACTACATGTAACCTACACATTGTATATTATACAAAGAAATAGATTTCTGAATTCGAATAGACTGCTTGTCTGCATGATAAAAATCATGTCTACTTTCCACCAATAATTATCCTTCAACTAAAGCCCCAATTGGCGTCACACAGATCTTGGTGAATGGGAGATCTCAGGCTTGATCCAAGGAAAAAGAGTATAGCTCTAGTTCCTTGGATTAAGACCCCTTCACTGGCATGAGGTCACCACTGATAAGTGATGAAACGAGTTCAACAAAGGTCAGCTTACGTGTCAACAGATGTCACCCCCAGCCACATCACCTGACACATGTAAGTGACAACAACTGACACATATCATTCCTCGCGGCCACAGAGATACAATTAACAGTATTACAAGCCAAACTGCTGTGTAGAGAGGGTGACTGAGTATGGCCAAGAGGTGGCCAAGTTGTACCAAACACTGGTCGCCATGGACAACAACTATCACTTTCTCTGGTCACCTCTCCCACTTCATCACCTCTCCTGGTTATGAAAATGTTGTGTGAGGCTGGAGGACCTACTAGGTTAGCTATATGGTAATGGCTAGTGTGTCAGCAAGATAAACACCACCACCTCACTCAGCTTTCACAACACTAACTCGCCCCACAACCAAAACTTTTTTTTTTTTTTTTTTTTTGGAACAACATATCTACAAGGACAGCTGCCCTCTTGTACAGTTTTATTTGGGTTTCATGCATATGTTTAAATTTTTACAGTATTCTCATTTACTAAATTACGTAGCTATCATATCTTATCTAACCCAATACTCAAATAGGGTAACTTACTTCCATTATGGTCCTTTCTTATATCCATTGGGCCTTGACTTATTTCCTCTATTTTCCACATTAATGCAATTTTTAAATATAAAAAAATTATCAAAAATTAACTTACCTATGAAAAGTTTCACAAAAATGAGAGGAATGTGAATATTTGAACAATTGTTGCTGTTGTTGGTATCAGGCTCTCAAGGCCATCACTAACAAATTATTTCTCGTCATTCTCTGCCCTTATTTAATCTCTGGACAAGTTATCTAAGTTTTCTCAGCATTAAATATGTCAAGCTGCCGAGAATAAGGAAATAAATTCTGGCTCCTGCGGATATATGAAAACTATTCAAGGGAAAGTTTTAGTGTCTATTAATATATACTATATATATATATATATATATATATATATATATATATATATATATAATATATATATATATATATATATATATATATATATATATATATATATATATATATATATATGTCGTGCCGAATATGTAAAACTGGTCAATTAGCAAGAACTCATATAAAATTAAGTCTTTTCTGAAATTTTCTCTTATACGTTTAAAGGTATATTTTTTTCATTAATGTTGATGTAAAAATTTATAATTTTGCACCAAAAGAATCTTAGAAAACTTACCTAACCTTATTATAACAAGAACAATTTATTTTAGCCTAAACCAACTAAATATATTTTAAATTTGTTTACAATAATTTAATACTAAACAAACACAGTGAAATATATTTTTTTCGTTAGGTTCAGAATGATTTTGGCGAAATTATTGCATACACAAATTTTCGCTTGTCCTATATGGCAAGATGAGCGTTGCTATTTAAGCCAAGATAGCAAGTTTGCCTATTCGGCACGACATATATATATATATATATATATATATATATATATATATATATATATAAATATATATATATATATATATATATATATATATTCTGAAGAGAAGTTGCAGAGATTGGTGGATGAATTTGGTAGGGTGTGCAAAAGAAGAAAATTAAAGGTGAATACAGGAAAGAGTAAGGTTATGAGGATAACAAAAAGATTAGGTGATGAAAGATTGAATATCAGATTGGGGGGAGAGAGTATGGAGGAGGTGAACGTATTCAGATATTTGGGAGTGGACGTGTCAGCGGATGGGTCTATGAAAGATGAGGTGAATCATAGAATTGATGAGGGAAAAAGAGTGAGTGGTGCACTTAGGAGTCTGTGGAGACAAAGAACTTTGTCCTTGGAGGCAAAGAGGGGAATGTATGAGAGTATAGTTTTACCAACGCTCTTATATGGGTGTGAAGCATGGGTGATGAATGTTGCAGCGAGGAGAAGGCTGGAGGCAGTGGAGATGTCATGTCTGAGGGCAATGTGTGGTGTGAATATAATGCAGAGAATTCGTAGTTTGGAAGTTAGGAGGAGGTGCGGGATTACCAAAACTGTTGTCCAGAGGGCTGAGGAAGGGTTGTTGAGGTGGTTCGGACATGTAGAGAGAATGGAGCGAAACAGAATGACTTCAAGAGTGTATCAGTCTGTAGTGAAGGAAGGCGGGGTAGGGTCGGCCTAGGAAGGGTTGGAGGGAGGGGTAAAGGAGGTTTTGTGTGCGAGGGGCTTGGACTTCCAGCAGGCATGCGTGAGCGTGTTTGATAGGAGTGAATGGAGACAAATGGTTTTTAATACTTGACGTGCTGTTGGAGTGTGAGCAAGGTAACATTTATGAAGGGATTCAGGGAAACCGGCAGGCCGGACTTGAGTCCTGGAGATGGGAAGTACAGTGCCTGCACTCTGAAGGAGGGGTGTTAATGTTGCAGTTTAAAAACTGTAGTGTAAAGCACCCTTCTGGCAAGACAGTGATGGAGTGAATGATGGTGAAAGTTTTTCTTTTTCGGGCCACCCTGCCTTGGTGGGAATCGGCCGGTGTGATAATAATAAAAATAATATATGCAATAAAATCACAGTAAACAGGCGATATCAGAATATGCAAAACAACCACTGTGAGAGAATGGTGAAATTCCAAGAGCTTTCGTGACTTCTCACATTATCAAGGAACTATAAAAACAATACATCAAAGGAAGGCATATAAAGGGTCGATGGTGAGGTGTGGTCTCGACCCTTTATATACCTTCCTAGGAATAATAATGGCATCATCGTCTATTTGCCGACTTGCTGGTGAGTTCACTGTACAGGTTTCATTCTTGTGTGAACTTGTGGTAATATTGAGGTGAGGTCCTGGTCTGAGTTGGTCGATAATTTATTATTTAAAATGCCCTATGTTATGTTGGTTTATTTTGTGGAAATGGTAAGGAATGTAACCTAATACTGTACAAGGAAACGTACACAAATAACCGGCACATAAAATTTATGACGACGTTTCGGTCCGACTTGGACCATTAACTAGTGTCACCGAAACGTCATAATAATAATCTTTATTTCTAAAAGTACATGTATACAGGCCTAGCTGACATCAGTGACATACTAGTGTATAGAAAGTCCCTTGTTATGCAGAGTATTTCGGGCAAATTAGGTCAATTTGGTCCCCAGGATGCGACCAACACCCAGGTAACTATCTTACTGCTAGGTGAACAAGGAAACACGTCCTAATGTTTCCACCCGTACCGGGGATCGAACCACGGACCTCAATGTGTGACCCAAGTACGCTACCAATCGAGCTATGGGACACCACAGGGGAAGATGGCAACCGGTCCTCCGAGTAATAATAATAATTTGATTTCAGCATGTCACAAAGTTTGCACAGAGATGGGCGACATTTATTTGTGTATGTAGAAAGCCATAGGTATGCAGATCAGATGACTCACGAAATCGTAATGACACCATTGCAAACAAACCATATCACGGGCAGGATTGAACCCGCAATCGTGTCATTACGATTTCGTGAATCATGTTGACGGCATTGAGGGGACTTGAGCTAGAGTTCGTCACGACCACGCTAGCTGGAGATTTGTCTGTAAAAACTTGCATTTGTGGTCACAGTGGTGCCTGTGCTAACCTTCCTATGGTGTAGAAATATACCTAGTTGGACGAATCTTATTGTGGCTAGCTGGTCTAGTGGCTAACGCGACGGTCTGGAGTTTTGAGACTCTCTGACCGCGGGTTCAATCCCGCCCGTGGTATGGTTTGTATGCAGATAATTTCTCCATTTACGGTTTTCAGCATGTTTCTAATTTAAGTTGGTTTAGGTTGTTCTATATCCATAAAAATAATTATAACGTGCGGCTAGCAGTAACAGCCTGGTTGATCAGGTACTGATCCACCGGGAGGCCTGGTCGTGGACCGGGCCGCGGGGGCGTTGATCCCCGGAATACCCTCCAGGTAGATGGATCCCACAACGAAAAAGAACAATAAATATAACATAAAAGACTTATTTTAAAAAAATGTGCGATTCACACAGAAAATGAGTACCACCAATATGTGGCTTGAGCAATACAGTCACATTACTACTGTTCAAGGTGCCCTCAACAGTTGCACATTTGCCTGTTTTTCAAGCGTCGTGATAAACCATACCACGGGCGGGGTTAGAACCCGTGATCAGTCTCAAAACTCCAGACCGTCGCGTTCGCCACTGGGCCCAGTTGGCTAACGCGACGGTCTGGAGTTTTGAGACTCTCTGATCGCGGGTTCTAACCCCGCCCGTGATATGCTTTGTTTGTAATTGTGTCATTACGATTTCGCGAGTCAAACGTCATGATGTCTGTGGTTAAGAGGATGGTCTGAAAACTGAGTAGATGAACGGTGCTCCTCCTACAAAGTGCCTAGCGGACAGAATAAGATGAGGAATAAGCTAAGGACTTACCATCCTAGCCTCACTTGTGGGAAAGTTGATAGAATCAATAATTGTTAACGCAATTTGAAGCCACATTCAAGGGCCGAAACCTCGTCTAAAGATTCCTCTCCAAATTGTGGATTAACTGTGAATTATTTTAGGCTAGTTATTATAACTTTTATTACTGCTACCGCTACCACACTACCACTACTACTACTAATAATAAACAATAATAAAAATAATATGATCAAATTAACCCTATTGTCATACACCGTCTATTCATAATATAACAATTTCATTAGTATTATTATTTTTAAATATTTACATAATAACAATCATATGCGTTGGTCTTACGTTCTTTTTTCCTTCCTTTACGAGAGATCGCAAAATTCTCTGCTGAAGATTCCATATCTCCTGAAATACAGTAAGAATATATAAATATATGCATGCTATCGAAAAGAGACTAGCTATATTATATATGAGGATTAAATATAAACAATTTTTAAAATGTCAATAGGATATGATAGGATAGGATGTGAATATGAATTTTATTAATAAGTTTTATCTTGGTGGATACAACGTGTCAATAAAATGCCATAAAGAGAATATTGTCGCTATACTCTACCACTGATATATATGCAATGTTGTAGCAACACCGAACACTTTGTATAAATATAGTGGAAACTGTCAATGGAATATTATGGAAGAGATCAATACCACCTCTCTCTTAGAACCCCAGCAATACTTGAAGTCTACCTGAAGGGTAGTCCTTGGATCAACTCCCCCGCGGCCCGGTCCACGACCAGGCCTCCCGGTGGATTAAGGCCTGATTAACTAGGCTGTTACTGCTGGCCGCACGTAGTCCAACGTTCGAACCATAGCCCGGCTGATCCGGCACCGACTTCATGTATCTGTCCAGCTCCCTCTTGAAGGCAGCCAGGGGTCTATTAGTAATTCCCCTTATACCTGCTGGGAGGCTGTTGAACAGTTTTGGACCCCAGACACTCATTGTGTTTTCTCTTAGTGTACCAATGGTGCACCTTTTCAATG